TTCTGACCCTAAAAACGGGTCTGCTTAGTGTGTTTTTTACTGAAAAACGGTATAGGAGTATTAATATAGGCTGTATAAGTAGTAATACTAGTAATATTATACCTCTCCGGGTTTGTTCAATATCCGAATTAGGGTGCTTAACTCGGAATTTCGCAGTTCGGTGAAGGGTCACTATAGTGCAGTCACTGTCGAGCCCCCACAGAGTAATATCTTACTTTTTGTACCAAAAGGGATACAAAACTTTTAACGATACCCAACAGTCGATTGTTGTTGTCCTTGAGCCCCTTCTTGTCGCTCCTTGAACTGCTTTCTGGATCAGTCTTCTTCTCTAGTCCCGAGACCCTTCCGGATTGAATGCAAGTTAGCATTAACGTGCATGAATACTCAAATAACCCTACAGTAGAGCACCAAAAACGGGCCACAAAATTGATCGTAACAATCCTGACTGGTATAATGCCTGTAACAACAAAATATCCAACAACAACAAACGGGAGAGTCGGATCACATCTCGTCTGGGGGTATGATTTCTACTGACTTAAAACTTTTTTTTTTACTGTTTTTGGTTTTTTCGGTTATTTTTTTTTATGTTTTTTGTTTTTATGAGGTACTATACTACTTTTTGTTTGGTTTCTTGTATATCTTGAAGTATTTTTGGTCATAAACCTCTCAGGGAACGACGGGACGGCCAATCTCCCCACCCTTCCTGGTTCGTGAATTTTCGGTCTTAATTAGGTTAAAAAGCTATTCGCAGGAATCCAGAAGGCTTCCGCGTTCTGAACTACCCTTCCGCCCCGGTGGTTAGGGCGTTGTTTTGAGCATCCGCTCGGCGCGGAGAGCTCGTTAACGGTTCTGCCGGTCATGGTTAACGGTTCTGCCGGGCAAGAGTCCGATAATGTTTTCGATTTTTATAAAACCTCTACCCCCCCCCCCTCGAAAAAATCTTAGTTCCAATCAGGTATGAAATCATCAAAAGCAACCGAGGCAGGACAAAACTAAGCTGTCCCTCTTCTGACACTAATGTTTATTGCGTTCGTGTTGACCTCTGAATTGGCGCCTCAGCTGACATGAGTATGAGAACTTTTTCGAATGTACTCCAAGTGTTGAGTGGAAACAGCTTTGAACTGTCAAAGCATTTGTGATTTAGTCTCCGAACATAAATCTCGATTAACACCAGCTCTCAAGGCGTCATTAAAAATTGGTCATTTTTTTACAAATCTGAAGCGATAATTATGTATGGCAACTGTTTATGTTTTTTTTTGCAAGCTGGCTTGACCTATTTGCACTAAAACATGGAAAACAAGAAAAGATTGCCCCCTTGTCCTCCGCAATCTTCAGATAAGGATTGGAATGGTGGAATCGTAGAATGATATTGCTTGAGTTTCAGTGAACACACGTGAAACAACATGATTGGATCACTTAGCTAGATACATCTTATAATTCGCTCACACAGACCGAATAAAAACTGAAGATTATCAAAGGTGCTTTAATAAAAGCGGCGCGGCTAGTTATCTGACTTTAATCATTGGTAATAAAAGGCAGATCTAAATTGGTAAAAAACGCCCTTTTCAGATAAATACAAGAAGTCGTATGAATGGATAAACTTTGACTGAAAAAGAAAGAAATTGAAAAACAGTTATACAACATCTCAATTTTTAGCCCTGTTTTTCAAATTGGGATACATTTGCTCTATCTAAAATATTTTCAGAAGCACAGGTGATTTCAGCCAATCACAGCTCAATAAAGCGAGAAAAAAAAACATATCATTTTCATCATCTCAATTTTCTTCACTTAAATAATCTTTTTCAAAGCTTGTCAACTTCAACAAATAACAGTATTCAAAAGTGGCTCCTCTGAAAATTTATCCGAATCTCTGTCAACCAAAATGAGGGCACAAACTATTATCCAGCTTTTGCTAATTTTGTGACGAATTTGCTAATAAGTTAATAACTTATCTTTTAAATTGGTATTACGTTCACTTATTTCATTTTGGAGTCTGATTATTTGTCAGCAGCTTGACTGGTTGTAGCTCTAAAGGCCAAAATCCATTTAAAAAGGCGTCCCTCAAATTTCACACGCCAGAATAAGTGGATAAGTCATTGGAAAATTTGAAAATTATTGCCAAAAACTGGTTCAGCACAGTTGCAATTGTCACGATATTAGTTAAGGCGATTACCAATTATCCCCTCTTTGATTGATTTGTGAAATCCAGTTTTAATCCTCATTATTCAAGTGCATCTTTTCAATAGCCGGAGAGGTTTAGTTGGAACCTAATTTTGAGCCACTCCGCCAGACCGATTTTATCCGATTTTTTCATCGCTTCAGGTCAACTGCCGTCTTCCTATACATTGTCATAATAGCACTCATTTACCTTTGGTCAAATTTTACAAATTCACTCAAAAACAGGAACGTTCTCTTACCCAACCATTTTCATATAGAATAAATTTTTAAGCAGTTAGGGTGACAATTTTTTCACAATTTAACAAAGAAACACGTCAAGATAAGATAGTCGACAAAATTGAGCGCATTAGTTAGCAAAAAATATCAGTGAAAAGCTTATCCTTGGAACATCTTCGAGCATTCGTATTTATTAGATCCTACTACGGTAGCAGTGCAGTCTTAGGACGAAATGTTGTCCAATTTAGATACTCCCAAATAGTATTAACAAATTCCTAATAACTCATTTAGAAAAAGGCCGATTCACTGTTGATAAAATTATTTTTCATTAATTTACGATAACGTTTATTACAAAAAAAATAATCTCGTCGGGTGTGCGAAGTTAACCTGAGCATAACTTTTGACTATATTTTGACCCGGACGGCGCCAGTAAATTCCACAGACGACCGACTCTAAATTGAAGAGACCCCGCCCCACTTGATATCGGAACGCAGTCAAATCAGCCGGCGTGATTAAATTAACCCAGTGAATACACTGAATTTACACTCTTATTAACCCGCTGTTGGTGAGATTGATAATTGAATTACCACTCATTATCATATAAAGGCTCCGCTCAAGAGAAGAGTCAAATCTAGACTGTGTTTGAAACAGCAGATGTCAACGAGTTAAATTTGTCTTCCAATCTATTTCGGTGTCTATATACACGTTCAAAATATTCATCTTCTTTTCTTGGCTCTTTTTGACTAAAAAATTTTCAAAAATTCGATATTACAGCTCGTCATGTCAGCGGTTAATTGGGTTATCGTGACAATTTTGACAATTTCTACGAGGATTGCCTCAGGCGAAAAAGGTTTGAACACTTTTTTATTAAATAGATATCTTATCGCATTGAACTTTATTTCAGGGAATTGTCTTAAGGAAATGAAAGCTACCGTTTCTCTATTATTTCTCTTTTGAAACACGGCTAAACACAGCTAGGAATTGATCTAGAATGCTTGGGGAAGCTCAAATTCTGTTTTAAAAAATAACCAGTTTGTGGGTCATTCAAAGCATTTATTAAAATAAATCCGAAAAACGAGTGGTCTACCAATGTTTTAAAATTTTGAATTTCAAAAGTTGTACGTAACACTTTTTGTGAGATTTCAGTAAAAAACATCATCAATTTTCTATGTTTAATTTTAATAAAATTAATAGCCACCACACCGCGCCTTAATCTCAATGTAGTCTTTGTGTTTTTTATCATCAACAAACTTGACGATACACTCAGTAGGGTCAAGTTTCCTTATAGTCTCTTTTTCTTACTGAATTATGTCAAATGACCCTTGCATGATATTCGATCTTGAATAATCAGTCTTTTGTTGACATGGATTTCAAACTGGCTTGAAACCTAATCAGCTACGGGATCGGAGTTAATCGAAAAGTATCCCTCTAGAACCAGAGGGGTGTAAATTGAAGCCACGAATGAAAATTAATCCGTCTCTGACTCATGCCTCTGGCTTAACTAGTGTTAAACTGGGAAATTGAAAAATAAAACAACAACAAGACTGCTCGTATCAGGGCGAAGCCCTGAATGTTCCGACCGCCCTTTAAGGTTTATGGAGCAGTAATAACATTAAAAAATTCAAAAAAATAAAACAAAATGAAAAAAAAAATTTCTAAAATTTAAAATTTTTTATGAAAATCATCCCCCCACACGCCATATAAAGTACAAAAGGATAAATTTCGCTCCTTGTAACAAACCATTTATGGCAAATAAGCTTCTTTTAACCAATTTGGAACGATTTCTAAGACGGATTAACTCTCCGCTTACGCGTTAATAGCGCGAAATATACCGCGCGTTAATTGTCCCAAATTGACCAAAATGGCAATCTTTAAACCCCCGTAACTTTACGAAAAATGACCACAGGTGAAATATCTTTTCAAATTTGAGCTCAGGACAACAATACCTTTTGAATGATATAAAAAAATTCCGTCAAAAATGGCTAGTTAAAAAGTCGAAATTTGTCTGAAGAAAAAAAAACTCACCCCGAGCACAAATATTCCGTTACTTTCGTATCGAAAGTCGGAACAAAAAGAGGCAACATTTTTGAATTCATCTAACATTTTATCTATCATTTCATAGTCATAAGACTTTATACTCCCATGAAACCCAAATTTAACAAAACTTTCAAATTTGGATAATTTCATTGGCACAGGGGTCAAATGTAAAACAAGAGGATGCCTAAACCCTCATTCTTTTGGTTTATTATTGCCATTTACAATTTTAACTTTTTTCATAATAATCACTCATATTCTATGGCCATATCCAGGTTTAAAATTGCGTCATATAGTTTTCATCATCAATTAGTAAGCTTAAAACACAAATGAATGATTGCAGCTAATTCTTTTCATAATTCTCAATCACAAATTTGGTTTTGATTGTTTTTTTTGGAAAGAGCAGCTATAAAAACGAGCTATGTTTAGATTGTCAGTCATTTAGTCTCGTAAAGCAACATTCGTTTGTTGTTTCTACCTTTTGTGCGAAGTTAGCCGTGCTTTTTACGACGACTCGCTTCATTGTTTTTGCTTTATTCCTATTTGTTGTTTACTGATGTTTATTTTTGTTTGTTTCAGCTGTTCTGTTTTCCACCGGCACTCAAAACATCGCTGTGTCCGGGGACGACTTGAGTAGACCAGTTTCTGGCAATGGGAGGGGGACCCAAATCGACCAATGGGGCTTCTCCACTTTCTCCTCGTGGGTTTCGTCGCAAGACGGGGTCAGTTTTTAAAGCCGACAAAAATCTTAATGCTGCAACTTTGCGCTATATATACGTCCACCCCACGACGTATCTTGATCACGTGATTGATGTTAGGATAGAAATAGAATGACATCGCTGATTTGTTGCGATAACCCATGAACTTTAGCGACAGTGCAGGAAAAAGAATCATTATAAGATCATTTTCCCAAACGCCTTTCAACATAGTTCAATCATAATAGAGCATTATGCACACCAAGCAAACTTGTCACAATTTAACTAGTACAGATGCCTCCAATTGATCTATTTGAAGGGGGTATTGACTGGATGCAAAAAAAATAAAAAAATACATCAAGAGTTTGAGATTTTCCCGTTTCTTTTAAACTCAGGTACACATGTGTATGAGATAGAGCCAGTTAACTTGCCATTTCCGATTGCCTAGTCAATCGTAACGTCCGATGTACAGAAATTTGGAGCCAAAAAACATTAACACAACACACTGTTTGATTGATCTTTTTACAACCTGATAAACGGTTCGACAAAGTACGACAAAAATATATAATCTGCAGTCTCACATTCCTTTATTTTTGTTCCGACTTTCGATACGAAAGTAACGGAATATTTGTGCACGGGGTGGGTTTTTTTTTTCTTCAGACAAATTTCGACTTTTTAACTAGCCATTTTTGACAGAATTTTTTTATATCATTCAAAAGGTATTGTTGTCCTGAGCTCAAATTTGAAAAGATATTTCACCTGTGATCATTTTTCGTAAAGTTACGGGGGTTTAAAGATTGCCATTTTGGCCAATTTGGGACAATTAACGCGCGATATATTTCGCGCTCTTAACGCGTAAGCGGAGAGTTAATCCGTCTTAGAAATCGTTCCAAATTGGTTAAAAGAAGCTTATTTGCCATAAATGGTTTGTTACAAGGAGCGAAATTTATCCTTTTGTACTTTATATCGCGTGTGGGGGGATGATTTTCATAAAAATTTTCAAATTTTAGAAACTTTTTTTTCATTTTGTTTTAATTCATTGAATTTTTTAAGGTTATTATTGCTCCATAAACCTTAAAAGGCAGTCGGAACATTCAGGGCTTCGCCCTGATACGAGCAGTCTTGTTTGTCTTATTTTTGAAAATTCACGAATTTTGTCACGTCTTTTTGTCTTGATACCAATAAGAGTTTAACTTTATAAAAGAATCAACGGCATGTTTGAGTTTGTAGGTCTAAAAGATCATCTCAAAGTTGTCAAATGCGACAAGAGTTCCTGAAGAGCTCTCGAAATAACACTGTTTGTGAATTATAGAGAAAATTTGTTCGGAGCTTGTCAGTAGCTGTTAGACTCAGCGAGTTTGCTGCGAGCGTCACACCAACCGGCTGGAAGGCCGTAATGACCTGACTAATATCGCGCTGAAAATAGTTTCATGCTGGGTTAACAAGTCGTACTTTTGGCTGATTACTCAACTGTTGGTGTGGTGTACCAACGCTAAACTTCGATTAGAAATTAATTAAAAAGAACTCGACGAAAGTAGCACGCTTATGTGTGCGGTTGTTGAACAGATGTAATCTCACAGTTTGTTGTTAGATCACAGTTTTGTTAGATGTACGAACGAGCTCTGGCCACTCTGTAAAGTAAAGTAACGCAAATGATTTATGCGCTTTTGTGCTATGTTAATCAATGTGCAGTTCATTTGGTTTGAGTGCATAATTTGAGCAAAAGAGCTACAATTTTGATCAATCGTTCTTTAAATTCGATTGAGAGCCCCTACTTAACTGAAAAGCTTTTTTTTAAAACTTAAATTGTTTTTATCAAAAACTCGTCAAAAGCTTCTCGTATGCACCGATTTTGTCATGAATTTAAGTGAATTGCCAATTTTTGAACATGTGATATGTGAACTATTAAGTTGTTGTTTTTGTTCTTCATGTTGTTATGAGTCTGTCAAAAATCGGTCAATAACCATAAAAATGACCTTTTCGTTTCAGTGGGTGTTCGACGAAAACTTCGGGAGCAACGGGCGCTTCTATGTATGCGACACGCAAGTTCCAGGAGTGGAGAACTGGCTCAAAAGTCCCTACATCGAAACGAAACGGTCTTCAAGGATCGAAGTCAAAATCATGTAAGATAATCGTGGTATTAAACATGCTAGATTATCTCTAGACTTTCAAGGAAACAATTTCGTGGTTTATTAGAACAAACGAAATACAAAAGTTCGGACCTCTCTGAACTCTATTTCTCCTCCATTGTAAATTGGGGTTTCGTTGCTGCGGAAAATATATTTGCTTACGTTAACCGTTCAATTAGTCATTTGTAGTGGTAGATGTTTTTAACTTCTTAAGGAGGAATAGTAAAGGGGCCAAAAAATTTTCCGAAAAAAAACTCTTAAATTTATTTTATGTCTGATACATTTTTACATTTTTGAATAGGTACGCTCAAGTGCCATGTACAAAATACCCTCTTAGCAACCCCGATTGCAAAAACGAGCTTACGCTTCACTACCTGGAAGCTTCAGGTCCCGACGACAATCGACAGCTAGATGCGCCCAAGTACACCAAGTCTTCTCGTACAATCTCTGCCGACAGTTTCTTAGAGGATCTCGGCGACCGCGACGATGATAAAGTTTATGCTTATTTTGATTTGATCAATTTGCGAAGCGACACGAAAGGTATTTTTCTGCTAATCGGCGACCAGGGATCCTGCTCGGTGATTCACTCTGTCGAGCTGACGTACTTTGTGTGTTCCGAGCAACACAACGAGCTCGTTCGGTTTCCCGAGACGGTAGTGGGGCAAATGGACAAAGAAGTTTACGGGCACTGCGTTGCGGATGCATCCCGAAGCAACCCGCCGAGAGCCACTTGTCGCTTCTATGGAGCCTGGGAGTTCCACAAAGAAATTTCGGAGAACTGCGCGTGCAATGCTGGATTTGAACCTACGACTGATGTGTCTTCGTGCAAACGTAAGTTTTAAAATAACTTTTTCGACAACTTTGATGTTGTCAGATTTTTGATGCAATTCAGGGGTAGCTGAATGTTTTTGATAATTTAAGCCTTGCAACTGTATCAGTGCATCCATAATTTTTCTTTGATTTTAGCGTGTGATGCGGGTACGTACAAAGCATCAAATGGCAATCACTATTGCAGTGTATGTCCGATGAACAGTTATGCTAAGCGAACAGGCAGTACAGAGTGCAAGTGCAAAGACAGATTCTACCGGGGCAAAAATGATTCAGCCGACTCAGCATGTGAACAGCCCCCACCACCTCCTAGGTAAGATCACATGACTTTTTATGATCCTTAATTTGATGAAAAATATCCATCTTCTCCTCCCCTTCCTCCCCCTCCCCCTGCCCCTCCCCCGAAATAGATAAAAATTTAAATCTAGGGTTTACTCTGCCCAGGAAAAATAAACGAAACTCAATTTTTTAGACTTCTTAGATTATATCATCTGAGGATTTAATACAATCTACTAATCTGTTTAAAATTGGACAATTTCTGTTCCAATGTTTGGTGTTTGTTGAAGTCTTTGGATCACCCAGTTATTGAAGCCTTCCAATAGTCCTGTGATCAAAATGCTTATCAAAGTTCTAATCTTGAAAAAAAAACAAGCAGGGATGAGTTCAGAACTCCTTTTCATTTTCTATTAAGCCACAATAAAGCTCAAAAACTAGATAGCGTTGTGGAAAAAAATCATTCTGACTATTGTTGTACCTGTTTTCTGAGAACAAAATGATCATTTTTAATTAAATTGACAAGGTAAAGAACAAACATGTGAATAACTCAGCTCACACCAGCGAACCACTGCTGACCTCCGTTAAAGTGGAATTTATTCCTGGTGTTGGAAGTCCTACCCTGTATAATTCTAGCAAGAATGGGACACGAAAAAGTGAGCCTTTAACCAGCCATTTCGTGACTCTGATAGACGTTTCTCCGCCTAAATGCTCGAGTTATCGTCGCTCCATAGTTTTTCTCCTTAACTGTTTAGAGATCTGATGTATGAGATGAAAAACACGGTAGTGACTCTTTCTTGGTCCGCTCCCACCCTGCCCCACCTCTACCAGAGAAGAAACATATGCTACCAGATATCCTGCAGACGGTGTCCCCCCTCAGTGATGGAGAGTTTTACAGACCAGTGCACATATGCGACTCAAGTCACTCTGTACGACTTGGAGCCCGAGACTGATTACATAATCGACGTCTATTCGGCTAACTCGATCACTAAGGGAAGAGTGGGCCTGCAGAATCACAACTCGATCCAGATCAAAACAGGAAAACTTGGTAGGTGGTCCTAATTATGAGCTATATGAAATCTAAAAGCACTTTCTCCTTAAATATAGTTTCTTTTATGGGCCAACTCCAAATACTTTTGAAATACTTTATGATGAATGATTTTGAATGAGCAGATTTTTTTGCCTCTCTTGTTGGAAACAGGAAAGACGTATCCTTTGTTGCTGTAAAAATTCAACTTATTTTATATTTTTATGCACCGAAAAATAGTTTCGAGATAACAAGAATATAAAGCTGCTCTTCAAGCAGCCCAGAGTGTTCCAAAATTACGTTAAATTACGTAAACGAAAAACCCTAGAAAAAATTCGAAATTCTTCTTATTTTTTACTGTTCTCGTCAGCAGCGGCAGGATATTGAAATTTTCTTATTTGCGGCAGAAATTTACTCGTTTTAATTAGTTAAAAATAATTGTACACTCAAATTGAGCGGACTCAACGATGAGAAATTTTTCATATAAAAATATGTGAACGGTTCATTATTATGCTCTAAAACTTCGGGAAAAAATTAACCAACTTTTTTTGATAGAGCACGAAAACATTTTTTTGAAAAATTTCGAGTTTTCTTTTAAGAAAAATCATTTTTTTTTGTTTATTTAGCAATAGTTCTGCTCAAAAAAATCAGCTTATTGCACAGGCGACCGGCTGCTTACTTTGGTTGTAAAATTTGACTTTTAGAATAGACGCTAGTTGGTCTAATCAAAACATTTTCATATTCTTTCTGAAAACATTTCTTCCTTGATGACAAGAAAAATTCTTTTGTGCATGACTTGTTATGACACGAATAAACGACACTTAAAAATGAACATCATAGTATTGTTTTTATAGACTAATTTTTAAATACTGTTATCATGTAACTGTCATTATTTACATTATTTTGTTGTTGGAGTTATTCAACTCGAATTAAAGGCTACTTTTTGGTTATAAAATGGTATAATTTTCTAACTTATGCTGTGATCACCTCAAACAAAGAATCTGAAACCGCCATCGAGTTTTGTGCAAAACATCTAATTAACTAGTTAATTAGCTCACTCGCACCTGCGTTTTCAGCAATGAGAAGACTCCAATTTGACTTAATCAATGTGCAGTCGTACCAGGTTTTAAAAAATAACCTGTGTATTTACACAAATTGCTCCGTCGTTGCGTTTGTGTTTATAATAATAGTATTCTGATCTCCGTGCTATTTTGACAGACAGTTGATGACACCAATTTTCTGCTGTTCCGTTTTTTTCGCATTAAATTCACGAGCGCGCCATAATTACTTAACAACTCTAACTACAGATTTGCAATGATATAAGATCCAAGAATTACTCGAATTATGCAAAGGTTGATTGAATCCTTTAAAATTGGCCCAAATGTGAAGAAATACCCCAGAAGTTGTTAAATTCTTTCTATGATCACATGTCTTAAAATATGAAAAATTTTATGGGATGTTTTTTACGATTTAGAGCCAGTTATCGCCGCGAAGAGACGAGCACACCGGTGACCTTAAACTGAAATTATTAATGTTTAAACCTTGCGAGTTTCGCTTGGGTAAAATTTTACGAGATGTTTTGTGTTGCGAGTTGCCGCAGTACCCGAAAAACACTTAACTAAACGCGAGCACTTTTCAATGTTTTCATTTTCAACCATAAAAGTCATCCATTTTTTGCTACTGGAAACACTGAGCGACTCTAGACTCGCTTCAAAAATATCAAAGCGACAGTTGTCTTTTGTGTTAGCGAGACCTAGAAGCGCTTAATCGGCGATGCACGTGTCTCTGCTTGCGTTATTGCAATAAATCTAGCTGTTTACGGCAGTCAATAACAAAAACGAGTTATAATTTTTTGCTAATCAGGTGCTTTTAAAAAATTTATATCGCACCAAGCAGCTGAATATTTAATCGCTGAAAAAGCGGCGAAATTCAAGTTAGAGACTGAAAAGATGAGTTGAAATGCAGATGAAAAATAGCTGGAAATTGATTTTTTTTTTATTTCAGAGGAGCAGATTAATTTTTTCTCAGCAAATAAGAGCCTGCTGCTAACATGAGCGCATGGGTGCATATATTGAACCCACCCCTGCTTACAGCTCAAAATCCAAAGGGATAGGCCACTTGTATTTTACTACCCTACCCTTCAATTTACTTGATTGGGATTTATGAATCACAAGTGTGTAGCTAAAAGTTGAAATTAAAGATAAACTTCCACTGGAAATTGTTGCTTATTCTTTAGATCAAGGGCTGAGGTTTACAGATTGCAATAAAAAGTTTGGGAGAAAGTTCTCATTTTAAGCAAAAATATGCACCTGAGTAAAAGTTAAAAATTAGTCAAGTACATTCTATCAGATAATTATAGATGAACTGAAAATCTTTCGTTCCAAATACCACGCCCAAAAGTAAATTTCAATCAAATTTTTCTTATCATTTGTCTATTTGGAGCTGGTCTTTTGTTGAATTGAAATAATACGGGTCACTATTTGATGTGTTTTGGGGTTGCACGGGAATTTTTCTAAATTACAAAGCAGGTAGACAGTCGATAAAAATCGGATTTTTGAGTCTAATTTGACTAACGAAGACCTAGCTTTGATTTGTTTCATCTACTCCAAAACTACATCCGCTTATTTTCCACTCAGTATTGATATGTTTAGGAGATTTTTAGCTAATTTGAGGGAAATTGTCAATTCTTTAGTCGAAACTAATCTAATGGAAGTTCCCTTCTGATACCGATATCTACCAAACGCTTAGACAAAAAAAACTTAAGTTGAGATCCCTTAAATGTTATGCTTTTTATAATTGCAAAAATGAAACGGTTTAAAAGGTAACAAATAATAAGAAAAAGCAACGTTTTTATTTTTTTTTCTGTTGTTTTTTTTGTTGGTTTTCTAAATTGACGTCAAAGTTTTACGATTTTCTCGGTTGACTGAAAATTGGGAAATTTGACATCTCAGAGCGACGATTTAGATTGAAATTGATACTAAAATTGATCTGTGATGTGAGCGCTTTTGTCCGATCACCGCTCAGGTCTCTTTTGAGCCCTTCAACTCCAATTGCAAAACCGGGCCTCTCAACTTGAACTCGTGCTCTGTAATTAATCTATTGTGTCTCATTTCAGCTAGAGTCACCGATCTGACTGTAAATCGCATCGGTCGCCAGGGAGTTGAGCTGACTTGGAATTGCGACGCAGATGCTCTACTAGCCAATCACCAGTCCTCCTCCGGATCTTCAATCCCCCTCAACTCGCCTGGGAGCGGAGAAGGGGTGGTGAACAAAACCAACGGAGGGGGGACTTTTTCATACCATTCCGGCTCAACTGGTGGGAATACTGGAGGACGCACATATGTGGCTGGCTCTAATTTTGACCCCAGTGCAGATCAGCAAAGAAGACCCTCAAATGCGGGTGGTAATAATTTGGGTTACAGCACCGGCGGTAGCAGCACCAGAAGTGACTTGGGGGATGGTGGGAGGATGAAGACGTCGTCGTCGGCGGGGGGAAATATGAAGGGGACAGTAGTCGTGTTTGAAGTGCGTCTCAGTTGGAAAGGGCAACCACATGCTATCTTCACCACTTCCTCATTCAGCTACGCCACCACAGGCATGTTCATTCTAATGTCTCAGTTAGCAGAAAATAAATTCCAAAAAATACCTCGGGTAGTAAAGATTCAATAGACTGCTGTGTCAGCGAGCCAAAAAATCTAAAGATTAATATCCATTAAAATCAGTTTGGTTTTTCATACAATTGATTCGGTTTTCGCCTTAATGATAATTCTATATTATGCTACCGTTTTTCGGCTTAATGATAGTTCTATATTATGCTATCGTTTTTCGGCTTAATGATAATTCTATATAATTCTATCAGTTGAATTTGAAGGCAGAAAAAATGATAGCAAATTGGCATAAGAAAAAGTAATTTTTCCGTGGTCACTAAATTACAGTTAGAGTTCAATAAAATGTCCATAAAAAGGAAAAACAACCCATTAAAATCTCCAAACTAATCAGCAAGTAGGGAGCCGATGTCTCTTTCAAGCCATATGGGCTCTCAAAAGAACCCCTAATTTCTTAACCGGCGCTACATTTCCTGTTGTTTTGCTGTCCACCACCCCTTCATAAAAAGAAATCCGTCTTAAAGTTGAGCCTTTGTTTATACTGATTGCATATTTTATTAAATTTATAAAAGTGTCTTTCTTTTTCAGATTTGGAGCCGGGCTTCTGGGGCTTCCAAGTATGCGTGGAGGGGGTGAAGTCAACATGCAGTGAAGTTGTGAACAAAGAAATTCTTAGTGAGTATTATTCATAGCTGTATTTGATCCCCCTCTTCAAAATGTCGTTTCAACACTCGATCACATTTTGACATAATCTTTTCGTGTATATGCAAATCCCAGATTTGATTAATTCCCGTCTTTAAAGGACAACTAGCATATCCCCGGGATTTTAGCATCAAAACAATGTAATAAGACCCAATACAAAGTTCATTTTTCAATTTGCTGAAAAATGTAAGTCCAATTACAGAAAATTTCTATCGCAAACAACCACTTTTTTCATATATGATGTTTTCATTTTATCAATGTTCACACACTTCACATTCTTAGCACTCAAAAAATTGGAAATTTTTTTTTTACAACCTGAGGTCTGAAAATTATTGTTTTTTTTTTCTGAGAATGTCCAATGTGTTTTAGCACCAGAGATTGGATTTGACTTGCGACACATAATAGCCTTGGCTGGCATAGGAACAACTATTGTGGTGTTGATCATCATCACCATGATCTTGTCTGTATGGTGCATTCGCAACAACCTAGCCTCCCCCTCCCCAAATGCATACAGAGGGGCAGAACAGCTCAAGTGGGCATCTAGCAGTGGGCCCCATTTCTATCACGGGGCAGGGGCAATTGGCAACCAGTATGTGAGCAACCACTCCCCTGGTAAGTATTTCAGCTGTAAACAATAAGCCCATTTTCTTGCGAACATTGTGGTCTGTGGATCGAATCCCATAAACACCAAAACAAGCAGAGCATTGCATATACAGAGAAAGATTTTTCAAAAAACAAATTCCAACTCAGTCAGAAAGAAGAACTTTCTTCTGGTTTTAATTTTAACTTAATCAAATGCTATTTTTGGTTTGATTACGTTTTCTGCGCACCCGTTGAAAAATTCAGTCACTGACCCTAATTTCACGCCTCAACTGTGTGAATGATGATCACCCTTGCGTGATATTAGATCGTGATTGACATCTGTGGAAATGAAAAAGTGGTCAAAACTCAAGAGAGCTGAAGAATACAGTCCGTTATAGGACTGAATCAGTCAATCGCGCATGATAACGCTTTTTTTTTAAAAATGTCCTATTTCAAAAATTTGGGTAGATTGGATTTGCTATTCTTTGTTTTGTTTTACAATTTTGAAAGGTAAAAAATTTCAAAAACAAATAATCTCTGTTTTTAGATTACAACAGTTCAGTGGGTGTTCAGGAAGATTGGATGTTGTCTGCAGGAATGCACCAACAGCAGCAGCAGATGGGGGGCATGGGAAGTGAACAACTACCCTCCCAAATGATAGAAGAGTGGGGGGTGCAACACATTCAACTCAGCAGAATAGAATTTGCCAAAAATGAAACGCCAAGTCAGTATATATCACAAGATAAATTCATCTATTGCGTAATTCTTTAGGCAATTTCATGAGTTCTGGCTGCTTTTTGGTGTGTGTTTTTTTCTCAGTTCATCTGCTACTATATTGGAAAACTTTTGTCAAAAAAATTTCCCACTGAGGTTATTTTTTGAAGAACCATTTAGCTTCATGAAAAAGTGCTGCAAAAAACAGATATCATGATATTTAAGCTATGCATAGTTTGAAGTTGTTTTCTTAATATTGAAGCTTTTCCCGATATTGTTTATAATCTTATTTTTTCTTGATTTCGCACCAAATTTGAGAATAAATTATTATTATGTAAATTATCTTTTGAAAGTATCAGGTGTCTTTCCTGCTTCTGAAAAGTGCAAACACTTGCTCAATAATACATTACAGGCTTCATCTCATTGTTTGCTGGGCTTTGTTGTGTTTTCGGACTAAGACTTCATTGTGTTTTTGGACAAAGAAATTATTGTGTTTTTGAACAAGATGCGGCAACAACTTTGAAACGTTTCTGATGATTTATTCACAGAAGAAGGGACTGCGCTTATAAATCATTCATAAGACGAAAACCTCGCCAACTCGACCTCCTTCAAAACATAATCTTTACACTTTTGATTTTTGTGAAACACTTTTTCAAGAGAAAGATAAACGCAATGCCATATTCGAACCAAAGAATAACCGTCCCAAAAAACTAATTCCGAATTTTAGAAACAAAAATCTCAGAAAAAAAGTACCGTTGAATCTTGTAAATTGATTTTTATGGGCTTATTTTTAGAAAAGAAACTTTTTATTGATTAAATGTTCTAATTTTAGAAGCGGAAAAGTATGAAATTAAATATCACGCAGTTGTTTCCAAATAAAAAGCAACAACATGGGGTTAAAACGTGAACATTAAATCGATCTGCGGGTGCTTTTGTAAGTCTGTCTATGTTTAGCAATTGCTTAGTTGTTTGTTTTTGTCGCACGGATCCCATAGCTAGATGGGAGAACTTAATGGGCGGGGGAGTATTGATTTGAAGACCAGGTGAGAACCCCTAGGTTGGAAAGTGGGACGGGCAAACCTATTCACGTGTCCATAATGTGATCGGGTAATGGTGTATGGCTAATTGTCTGCTGGGCTAACTTGTCAGTTTAAATCAGGCCAATCAATAACTTCTTTGTTCAGCATATTGAGCGGCTGTGACATATATAGGATATAATAAAGAAAGATATTTAGGTTGAATTTCAGCTCAGGGGTAGTTATAAAATTGAAATTAGAACTAGTTGTAAGCAGCTTTTTTGGGAAAACTAAGTTAAAAATGAAAAAAATAATTACTTGCAAGCAATAATTTTTTCTAAACTATTTACGTCAACTACTACGGGATGACGGCATAGAAACCAGCTTTTGCCTCTATATTTTGCCAAGAAGTTTTTGATGAAGACGTTTTGTTGCCATTCCAGGTTTTCCCAATGGACTTCCGGACTTGATAAAAGCGAGGCTGAGTGACCACTCTTTCAGCCAGACTTGTATGGCCATGATCAAACAGGCCACGCTGAAAAGCTACTCCGATCTGGGTCTGATTGCCCATGAAGTAGCAACTTGCGCCCAATTTCAGCACCCAAACGTCCTTTACCTCTACGGAATCGCTCTCAATGGTCAGTTATTACGCAATCATTACATAACTTAACATCTCCTGTACCTAAGAAGCACTATTTTATATTGCATATCTGAATATTATTTACTGAAATTTCACAACTGGTGTTCTTCGCTCTTTTGTTATAGACAACAATTGTTACCTAAAAACCCAACTTAAAAGGCAAAATTCAAATTAAATATTGGGGCCCAAAAGGGACCAAAATTAATACTTATGATTTTTATCAAATTGTAAAACAATATCGCACTAATGTCAATGATTTATGGTCAATTAAATGAGAACTAAAATCTGAAACATGCTGTGTTTTATGACACCTCGTCTCGCCCATTGGGGTAAAAAGCCTGCAAATTTTAATTAATAAGCATATAAACAGGAAGCAATTATTTGACGCCAGTTAAGAACTCTCGGGGGTTTGTAGCTACAGGTTTACTTCCCTTACTTATGGAAGAAAACGGCCACTTCTGGAATCAGGTGGTCTTCAAATTTTCATCTAACTTGCTGAGTTATTTTTATTACCTAGAAAGAAGTTTCGATGAGAAACAAATAATGCAGACAAAAAAAAGAAATTAACAAGCATAAAAATAAGAACTTTTAGCTTCGCTCAAGTTACTAGTAAAAGTTTAATCGAACTTTTTTTAAAAATTGTTTCTGATTTTATTTCTAGGCCCAGAGATGCTCATAACTCTGGAGTACACTGGTAAGGGGACCCTGGATAGACTCATCAGGGACATGTCTCCCCCCAACGGGGGTGTGGGGGGATTGGGGGGACTTGGTCAGGTGGTGCACTTGTTGAGGGGAGTGGCCAGTGGCATGCAGTTCTTCGCTGACCTCGGATACGTGCACAAGGTGAGAAAGAAAAAGAAAAAACAAAAACAAGTTGAAAAACAATCAAGCATAGTTTTTTTTGTTACGAGGCACGTCTGACTTTTGAATATAAAACACATCAAAGTGGCCGCCCAATTGTTCCGATTTTAAATCAGACATCAAAAACGTTGAAAGTGTAGGTACGCTAGTAGGTACGCTGTTTCAAGGTTTTCGCATGATTGCTGCCTTCTTTCACGAATGAATGTTTCGTTGTTTTCACAAAAAATGCTGTTATAGTTTGTTTTTAAGAAAACTTACATAGTCATACTTGTGGTGATAGGGAAGATTTTGCAATTATTCTTGCAAGAACTTTCCAATTTATACACAATATTTTATTTATTCTCGCAAGATAGCCAACCTCGACGAACTGAGGCAGTAGGCTATTACCCAGAACTCACTCGAAACTTTCTGTTAAACTTGATCTTTGACCCTGATTAGGTTCTGACTTCTGAGAATGTGTATGTGACAGACAGTGACGTGTGCAAGATAGCGGGATTCGACACCAGAGCAGTTTTGGAGGCCGAAGAGGCGGAGAATGTCAACTGCACCGTAAGTCAACGTTGCAACGTCTGATATCTTTTTATTTAAACTACTTGACCACGAGTGAATTGAAGATGTGTCTAATTTTCTGTAGGATCCATTCAAACCTATAAACTTAAAGGTCAACCATTAGTTTTGACTCGTGATTCTGATGCTGTAGGTGTTCAACGCGTTGGTGCCGTGGCTTGCACCCGAAGTGAGTGCGGGCATTGGGAATGCACAGTGCAGACACTACTCCCTCATGTCAGATGTGTGGTCATTCGGAGTACTCATCTGGGAGTGTCTCTCGGCCGAGAAGCCCTTCGGTCAGACGCACCCACATGAAGTAAGCATGGAAATTTAAATAAAATTAAACACTAAATAATCAAATTTATCATGAATATTCATCAGAAGTAACCTTTGCGCCAAAATGTGGTTGATTTGTTTTCTGCTACTTGCACATTGCATCCGGATACTGTTGTTCTTAAAACACTGTATATTCGAGTTAAAACTTGATTTATTTGTCCAGATAATCCGGGCAATTACATGTGGCTACCGTCTACCAGTGCCCAAAGCAACATCTGGCTCTCCGGGACCCCTGAGTGGTCTGATGATGGGATGCTGGAACGAGAACCCCTTGCAGAGACCCTCGTTTCACCAGATTCACTCCACCCTCGAGAAACTCATCAGCAACCCCACTCTGATGCTGGAACAGACCCAGTCAGCCACAGTCCAAAATGAAACCCCAACTCTATCCTACCTCAATCTCAATAGCAGGTGAGCAATAAAATCTGAAATTTTTCGCTTTTTGCTTGTATTTGGGTTGATATTTTTTCAGCGTTAACTTAATCGTTTAATTCTGAAGAAAATTGAATTTTTTTTTAAAAAAAGTTTTCTCTTCACTGAATAGTCAAAAACACTAAGAAGTGCTTCTCTTTCTTAAAAATCAAACGTAATTTTTTTGTTGCGATAATTGATGGTATTAACAGTATCATTCTTGATGAAATTGTTGCGAACAATTTTTGAAAAATGTAGAAAAAAATATGTTGCAAAAAATGTTGCGAAAAATGTTGCAAAAAAATGAAAAAACTTTGTTGCAAAATTTTTTCGATCTGAAGTTGTTTTGAAAAAATTTTACGACTTTAACAGACAATTTTTCTTAATTTTTGTTTGCCAAGTGAATTTAAATTTTTCAGTGCAAAATTTAGGACTTTTGAGTTTCAAATCAAATATGACGTATGTTATAAGAATTTTGTTCATAAAGCGAACTTGACTTTTTTCAGTCCGGTGGAAGCATCACAGAAACTAAAACAGGCATCGACAACCTCCGTTTGTGGCACTGAGAACCCCAATGGCACCTTTAACTCCCCTCCCTACACGCCCATGACTAGCATTGAGGAGTGGCTGCAGCACATTAACATGGACCACTGTGTGCCCAACTTGAAGAAGGGGCAGGACAAGAACTACATGACCATCGGAGACGTCATCCACATCGGTATGTTTAATTGCTTGCTAGCCTCGTTTTTGTTTCTTGAGCCAAAATTTTTGGAGGATATGAGAAAAAAATTCATTCGAAAATTAGAAGAAAAAAATTGATTTTAAGAGAGCAAAAACAGATTACGTCTCAAATGGCTTTATAATCTATTTCACTTTTTCAGTGAGAAGTTTTGATATTTAAATGAAAACTTTTTCGGTCAAGATTTTCGAAAATATATATTTTTTTCAAGTATTGCAGCCTAAGTTGGCTATTTGTTTCTTTGATAGAAAGTCAAATGACACAAAATCAAGAAAACCTGCATTTCTTTTCAGAAGGATTAAAAATAAAAAATAAAAAAGTAATAATCATTCAAACAGATTATCATTCAGCTTTTAAATTGTTCGATGTTTATAGATGGCAAGACTCTCAAGTCCCTCGGAATTTGCAACCAAGACCGAAAAGTTATCCTGAAGAGTTTGCAATCAATGGCGTCTTCTATAAAACCGCAGTTACAGCCTCAGCAGAAAACAATGAAATCTTTCAAAAACGAGCATCCCAAAAACTTAGGCTTGAACAATATAGCCCACAGCATCATTTGATGAACAAAAAAACATAATTCGTTTTCTGACCATGTTTGAAAAAAAAGATTCCCAAGACAAAAGGTGCTCATTCACAACTTACCGCGACTATTTTGTATTTGTATTGATTTGTATGTGACACTTTTATAGACAATGTAGCATTCTGAACGTAATCATTATTGTTCTTTGCAATTCAACTATTAAAATTTGCCTGTTTTAAATCTTACCTGACAATAAGCTTCCATGTAGATTTCATTTCTATCTGATAGTTTTTTAAATCCTAAATCATGCAATATTTTCAATTCAAGTGCGATCTTACGGCATGAGAGATTTTCAGTTTATTTAAAAAAATACATAACACGCTTTTTTCATGTTTTTTCAAGTTAGTGTTTTTTTTGCGTGTGATAAAAAGATCTGACAAAATAAGAAAATATTCGACTGTCATAGTAAGATAGACAAATCGGAAAACTGTTTTAATCGAAGAAAAAACAATAGATAATTCAAAAAACTTTCTAAATTTTTTTTCAACTCTCTTTTGTAGAACTTTTTATTCTAAGAATTGTTCTAAAAACTTTGAAAAACAATTTCACTGAATTCAACTAAGGTTTCATGGCTTATTCTTCTATAATCAGCCTACTCGTTTGCTTTACTCGCTCAATTTTTTACTAAAACTCGAAAGTTTCAACTCGGTTTTTCTCTACACTGGGACAATTTTTGGAAAATTTTTTTATGCTGTAGGAATCAGTGCTAAAAATTTTTTAAATAATATATCACTCCACCCATTGCAATGATCATTTGCAGCAAATATTTAAAAAAAAGAAATCGGAAAGTAGTTGTTATACAAAAAAAAATGAATTTAACTACAATTCTGAAGAGAGTACCTTTCTTAAAATTAACTGGCTCTGTCTGGAAAACGAATCAATTTCATCCGTTATTAGCAACACTAGCAATTAATTTTCATTTATTCAATCAAACTTTTATTAAATTTTCAATCGATCTCTACAGTGCTCAGCAATTAGTTCTCAGCAAAGACAAATACGAAATTTAAGCAAAATCTTTCATGTGATGTAATTTTTAGTTGGTTTATATACTCCGCGCGTTTTCGGCTGAATTATATTTCGGCTGGTTTAATTACTTTCTAGTTTTAGTACTTGTACACTGCTCCAATGGTGTATCAGTTTTACTGAAGCTTACGGTATCAAAAAAAATCAAGAGAAGGTAGCGCAACTGTCAGATTTGGCACAATTGTCAGATAAAAAGTTGGGAGGCTCACTTGGTTTTTGTTTTTGGTTTTTTGAATTTTCATAAATCAAATGTGTTTTTTTTTCATATTTAAAAAAGTCTCTTTTGGCCTGTGCTGAGGATTTGCAGCTTTGCCTCAGTATCACAAGTTATTTTTTTTGTTTTCGTAAATGTTTTTTTATTAAATTTTTTGATTGGCTCATGAAATTACATAGGTTAATTTAGGTTGAAAATTCTCCCTATTTTTGTCAATTTTCTTGCGCATTTGTCGTCCTATATTCATTATTTTTTATTTGAGTTTGTATTAGTTTCGACCACTCTAGTAAAAACATAGTGACACTTTGACATAGTACGGTTTATTTCCGCCCATTTTTGCTTTTTAAAAACAAATCTAATCAGAAGTTTGAAGTAGAAAGTGGTTAAATGCCAAAATTCTCTCATCAAATTCAAAATCAAAAATGCCTCAATTAAAAAAAAGGTCAAAAATACTGTAGTAAGCTTTTAGCTGTAAGACTTTTAGCTGGTAACAACTTAACCTAAATGGTAGCTCCTCAGAATTTAAAATTGTTAATCAGAAATCACGCCAATATATAGGTTTTTTATATCAGTAAAAAACGAGCAAAAGTGTTGTGCTTTGCCCATTTAATTTAATTACTTAATTGTTTGGTGATATCGAAGCCAACTTATTACCTTTTCACTTTTCGTATTTTATACAACATTTTCAGAACAGTTAAGTTTGTTTTCTGTTTTTCTTACTTTAGATTAGGATAGTGTTTTAGAATATTTATTATGACGCAGTCAACCAACAAATTCGGCTTAAGGAAAAATTTACCTTTGTGGCAAAATCATGCAATTGAGCCCCTATCCCGTGGGACGATTAGAGTGACATGTTAAAAGACAAAAAGGGTCAGAATCTGGGATTACAATATCTCTGTATAATTCTGTAGAAAATCAAAATGATTTTTGAAGTGTGATCGACGCCTGGAAAGAAGCTGGCCAAAAAGAACAATGGCGTCGATAATTTTATTCATCATTCAGATAGGAAAACCGGAACTCCCGCAACGATCGAAGAAGCAGTAGATAGTGAAACCATTCAGGACAAAGCAGCGAGACTGGCACGAAACCTAGAAAAAAACCTAGATACGAAGACGAAAAAAAATGTTTTAATCCAGATTGAAACGATGATTTTTGGTGGATTGAGACAGGATAAAGCTGATAAAAAAATAGTTCCGTGTTATTCCTAGCCTTAGAAAACGAAAGGGAAAATATTTTTACTAAAGGAAAAAAAATTAATTTTTGTGAGTGTTGGGATTACTTAAACCTTGATTTCATGAGAAAAAGAAACATCACCTTCGAAGGACACAAGATGCTAAACGGAAGACAAAGAGATCGAAAACGTCTTGAAGGCTTCCGAGGAACCTTCGCTCAACTGGCAAAGAAGAGTAATATCTCCGGCGGAGAAGAAAAATGGATGTGATATACATATTAACAACATGAGAAACACGAAATTCAGAGGAAGTTGTAGACTGAGACACTGGTACCGGTGGATGCACTCAACTTAGCCCTAGTAGACAAGGAGCCAAAATTCAATCATCTTAAATTGACCAACGAAACGGAGCCCCAGATCCAATTAGTAAATTTATGTCAAAAATTTTGCAGTATGCCAGCCAAAGACGCGCATTGTATACCTTGTAACTATAAGGGTCATTTAACGAAGAATTTTAAATCCGAAAGAAAAATGTTGAACTTGCCGATACTTCTAATTCTATAAAAAACGATGTACTTTTTCCAATTCAGCAATCTGTGTATACTCTGTAGAAAATCAAAATGATTTTTAAAGTGTGATCGACGCATGGAAAGAAACTGGCCGAAACAAAAAAAAATGATTATTCAGTTGTTAACGTCGCTACGACTTTTGATTCCGAGGAAAAAAAACTGAAATTTTTTAGTTTCGGCTTTTGTACATACAGATACCAGATGCCAAGCTTTCACGAAATGGTAGACAACGCGGCAGCAAAATCGCACATGTCTCCATAGAAGTTAGGTTTACAAATTTGGACTTCAAAACGCATACAGTCAACTTGCTGTAGATAACCCACCCAAAAATCACATACAGTCAACTTGCTTGAGATAACCCGTTCAGAAATCACGTCAACACATCAAATCTTTCATTAGTAAAAAAAACTAGTACATGATAAAATGAGCTACGCTAGCTGTAAAACAAGTAAATAAGTTGAACCTGCTGAAAAAGATATTCTATAAAGAATAAAACATAACGCTAGCGCAAGCGGAAAGAAAGTTGCGGAACCTAATTGTTGTGATAAAACATTAAATTAGAAACATGCTACCTGGAATGAAATTTGTCACTTCTTAACTGATCTTTTTGAGGATACGTTTTTCCAAAAGTTGCAATTTGAACGATTAAAAATGCAAATCTCCATTTTATATCTGATAATATTTAAATCTAAATCAACAAGTTTAAACGAAGTATTCATAAAAAATTATTTGATTTTCAACAAGCAGCGTGTAATTTCAAAAACGCATTTTTAGGTTCCAAAAATTCTGTCCGAAACCACTTCATATTCTTGAGGCAAATTTGGTTGGTACCGTGCTCAGTTTCAACCGGAAGACAACTCATCAGCTGGGCCTCGCTTGTCAAAAACAATCTTTTTTGATAACCAGAAAAGTTTCACACATGTAACAAAGAAAAGAATTTATTGCCGCAATCTTTTTCGAAAAGCTTTCTTTCCATAGTTTAACTATTGGCTTACATCATGGAGTGGCATACACAGCATCTCAGAATTTTTGTTTCAATACAATTGTGCTTGTCAGTTATTAGTTCCTGAGTCGGATGGATCGTCGCATTTTAAACAAAACAACTCATTTCATTAACCTGAAAAACCTTGATAGAAAAACGCTGATAGATATACATACAACAGCAAAAAGTATAGCAATGTGACACAATCCACTGAGAACCCGGGTTGAAGTCACAAAGGTTATCAGTTCAATTCTGTATCAGTGTAAAATCCGAAAATTACTCTGCTTTTCACCCGGCTAAGAGAATGAAAAGGAAAAAATTTGCCACTAGTTTTCTAGAACTGTAATATTACTGTTACAGTACTGTTTTATTCTGTTTTTATTCTCAAACATTAGTGGAAAATTTTATACAAAATTTCAATCTGATTTCAAAGTTTTGTCAAGGTTTTGATTACAAAAAGAAAAACAATTAAAATAGTTTTATGTATAAAAACTGTGCCAAAAACTACTTAAGAAATTAGTTTTTTTTGCGAAAGAAAGTTGGTTAGCTACGGTACTTTAAATGCTTGAGCATCCTAATATTCCCGGAAAAACGCAATTTTTGGTATAAAAAGTATGGACAAAATAAAAAAAATTTATATTGATGCATCCCCCAACAGCTAAAAATTGGCTGAAAACAACCTAAGAACGCAGTTTTTTGCAAAAAAAATATAAATAGGTTAGCTTTGGTAGTTTAAAGCCTTGAGCAACCAAATAAGCCTGGAAAAAAACCAATTTTTTGAAAAAACATGGGAAAAATGAGCATCTTTTAAAATGATGCATGCCACAACCGCTAAAAATTAGCTGAAAACATCCTAAAGTTTTTGCGGAAAAAATAAATTTGTTTGCTGGAAACAATCATTTGGTTAGTTTAGTTACTTTATCTGCCTAAAACTGCCTTAAGACTGATAGTCATGAGAAAATTGTGAAATTTGTACTCTGATTTTCGTTCTGATGCCTAGTTATGCGCAATTTCATTCAGGCGCCGATCTAGGAATTTCTCGTGTGGGGGGGGGGGGGAGGCGGATTTTAAACAAAAACAATTTAAAATTTTGTCGACCTCTTTTTAGTTCCACCAAGTTGAAATTCTGGGCTCTGCTAATCACTATGAAGACCTCATTTTGACTAAATTTTCTGCGCAGCAGAAAAATTATGAAAAAAACCGGCCCTTTTTGAAAAACGTTGACCAGAAATCGCGCTTTTTTGGCGCGCGCTCCCCCCTCAAAATTGGTATAGGCGCCTTTAGAAAAATTTTATGGTCAGTCAGCCAAAAATGGATATCTCAAAATAGTACAAAGGGGAGACACTTTGGGTCGGGAGGGGTCCAATCCCTGAAAAGGCGACGGGGGGCGTCCGCTCCCCCCTAAATCCACTTCTGATTTCATTGATTATTTATAACTTTATTGAGCAATTTCCTTTTATAGTTTCGTTTGACTTCGTTATAATCATTTTTAGCTTAATTTTTAATTGTTTTATAATTGAATTTCAAATCCGAGAGTTTTTTAGAGTGTTTCCTTTTTTTTCAGAAAACCTTAAATAATTTTCAACAAGAAGGCTTAAAAATTTTTTCAGCCCAACCAAACAATTTCATTAAAATCACGGTACGGAATTAGTTTTTCTACAGATTTTTTCGAGTTTTATACAAAAATGTCTGCTCTGGTTTTTTTTATTTGACAATATCTATGATTTTTTTGTCTGGCCATAGAAATAAACAGATTAAAATTTCAGATTTTTTATAACCAGAGAAGTTATAATTTTGATTTTGATCTGATCAGAAAATTGTCAAAACAAAACCTCGGATTTGTTCCTGACCAGGAAAATAGCAGAAAAAAAACAGTATTACAGCAGGAAAAAAATTGTTACAGTATTGCTGTTTTTTCTCTGATTTATAGAATCTGATACAGAACTGATACTTTACTTTTAAAAATTCTGGAGAAGTACGGTTTGAATGGAATAAAGCGACGAGGTTAAATGGAATAAAACAATGCGAACAGTTTTTTGTTCACGCATTCTTAAGGTCTTGAACAAGTTTCGCAATTATCTTTAGGTTTGAATAGAATAAAACAATGCGAACATTTTTTTGTTCAAGCACTCTTAGGGTCTTGCAAAGAGTTTTGAAAAAAATTTTGCAAAGTAACTAATAGTTAAAGAACAAATTTTGCGAAGCAGATTACCTGGAGACTTATAAATTTAAAAATTTGAGGTTGCAGATGTTTTAATTCGGTCAATTGTTGGTGATCAAAAAAATTTTTTAAATAAAATTGTATAATTTGATTTACATTCAATTATTTTTTATTAAGCTCTGGGAGATTCCCAAAATTCCCAATTTGACCATGTTCTGAACCAAATTATTCGCGCTTTGAAGAGTTTATTCATGATGTCGAAAGCGCAACGTGAATTACTTATGCCTGGCGAATTATTCCGCAAACAAAATCGTTCCTCGTTATTTATGGCTTTGCTTTTTGATCCTATAAATTTTGTACGACTCGAGTTTTTCACATGATCTTTGATATTATCAAAATATTATAGATTTTCAATTTATTTTTTCCCAAAAACTATTTGATATGAATTAAGGGGCAATCGGAAGCATCTAGACTTTGTGTCATCTGTTTATAAAATCCATAAATTTGATTCTAATTTTTTTTTTCATCCATTTAGTTTAGCATCAATTAAATTGATAATTCCGAATAAGTAATTCTTGTTTTTGAAATGATTTATTGCATTGATTCACATATATCATGTCGGATAAAATTTTCCATGTTTTGTCTCGGTAAATTATGAGTTACGCACCGATAAGCATTACGGCGTTTTGTATAAACCTGGTGAGATTGTACCTGCGTTCAACTTTTTAACAAGACCTGCCATATAATATTATTTCCCAGGTTCGTTTCAGTAAATTGGAGTTACGCATTGAAAGTAATTACGGCTTTTTTGCGAGTTTAGATTTTACTTGTATTCCATTTTTTAACGAGACGTACTTTTCCCTTAAGCAAATTTGATAGCGGTGAAACTTTTAAACACATGCTATTGTTGGCTGTGAATAAACAAACTATAATAACGAATTAGTAATCTTCAATTATTCAATTCAATTCAGACCGTTACAAACAGTTCGTTCGGTTAACACTTTAAAAAGCCAAAATACGTTTCATTTTCCAAGGGGAAGACCTACAATTATGCAAAAAATGAAACATCTCCTCTGTAAAGACTGTAGGTCCCTTTCAAGATGTTTTATCTCGTTTTTTTTAAACTACTGGATTCTGAGACAAAAAGATTCTTCTGTGGCAGTGAAATCAAATTATACATCTGAGAAATTGCTTCCAGTATATCTAACTATATAACTATGTGCCTTCTAATATTTGAGTGGTTAAATAATCAAAACATGAATTGAAATTAAATAGTTTGCGGTTACTTCACAAAAGCTTTTGTACGCTTTTTTCATTGTCCTCTGTATCTACGATATGGCTCATCGACTTCTTCTTTTGTTCTTTTTTTTCTAAAAAATTGCTTTTCTTTTCTAAAATCTGCCAAAATTCTATGTTTTCGCCCAATCAATGCTTATTTTTATTTGTTGTTTACTGAATTTTCCTAGACAAAAAGAAAAGAGCGTATTTTTAAATCGTTTGTGTCATTTAGTTTTCCAGTTAGCACTACATAATGCTTCTTGGTTCATGGATCTCAATCAGTTAGTGTTGTTGATCAACTGTGACGCCACTGGTCTGGTGCCAGTGGATGACTTGGGAGTGGGTGTGCTCGATTCCCCATTGGGGCCATTTGTAGCAGCAACTGTGAGACCCCCACCGCCTCCGGAACCAACCGCACTCTTCTTTCGTCTGGAGAAGCCATTCTTCTTAAGATACGTGACCACTTCACCGTGTCCGAATCTCTCCGCCTCCGTCAATGGTGTATTGCCCCACCTGCAGTTGTTGCAACTCAACATAAACCATGTTAACCGGAACTGAAAAAGTTAATATTCAGCCAACCCATCGAATTGGGGCAGTAACCAATTGTCGTCTCATTTTTCACTTTCGTTGGCATATGATAGAAAGTTGGGACTCCGGTTGACTGAAAAATCCAACTAAGAGCCAAGTTAACCATCATAAACAGAGTGGGCCCAGGATTTTCTCGAAGGGGTAGGAGGGCGGACTTTTTAAAACAAATCGAATTTTGTAGATTTTTTTTAGATTGACAGCATTAATTTTGTGAGCTCTCTGGAAGCACTATACAGATCATATTTTGCCACAATTTTCTGCGCCGCAGCCGCAATATGAATCATAGCTAACGGACAGCTGGAAAGAGTCAATGAACGCCAGTAAACAGAAAAAATACTGACTTGTTTTGTAAAAAAAAAAGTCTCAGCTTTCGAATTTCGAAGAAAAATTGTATGGCTTTAACGTTCTTTGAATTTGTAAAATAATTTACGATTGGCAATTTTTTGCTAAAATTAATCTACTTTGAGAAAACAGGATCAATATGTAAACTTTTTGTTTTGCTGGGAAACCTAAAAAATTCCATTTTTGAAACTAGAATTCGATCATAGTTTTCGTGACTTATACACTTTTGCTGTTTGATACTAGATTTGTCTTCTTTAGAATTAAAGAAATGAAGATAATTTTAAAAGAAATCAAAAGTAAAACCGCGAAAAAGTTAATTTTAAGACTTTCCCTGAAAAAAAATGAAAAAAAAAAAAAGGTTACCACCTGTAAAAGAGTCTAAATTACGTTCATTGACTCTCAAGAAATAGGCCAAACATGAACTTTAGGGGCACTTCTTGGAAGGTTCTCACCAAAAAATTGGTCTATTCCGCGCGCACGCTTTCCCTCCAAGATTTCTGTTGTTGGCTAAAAGGCGGTCGTAGAAAAGTTTCAAGGTCGTCCCTTTATAACTTGATTGATCTTACTACATGCGGAGAGCTGTGGTAGTTCCTTACCTATCGATGGGGTGTCGCTCGACACTGCAGCGCTCCACTAGGAACCGGACAACCTCTAGGTGTCCCTCGGAGGCGGCGATGTGCAGGGCGGTGCGACTGTCGTAGTCCTTCTGGTTCAGATCCACCCCCTGGAGGGAGAACCGACGGAAGGCAGAGATGTCCCCCTGCAAGGCCGAGAACATGATGCTGATCAGGTTCATCTAAACATAAACCATCAACTTTTTACAGTGGTTTTATCAATGATTCACATAACTTTCCAGTTTCACGGTATTAAAACCATTTCTGAGCCTAAAATGATTCTAACAGCAATTTTTGTAATATGCTTTTTACTTGTAATAACTATCCCATCATTCAAAGGCAGAATTAGTCCTTGATTTTGCTTGCGCATAGAATGTTGATTCGACAGAGAAAACTCCATTTCATTTTTCCAGATATCTAACACCTTTACCTGATTTGATCCCTTTTCATCGTATCTGGACTTGGGTGCAAAATTGTGGAATCCATACTGCGACACTAGTTTCTGAACAAAACAATTATATGTAAAAAAGCACAGAAATCAGTTGAGAAAAACCACCACATAGCAACGTTTTCTTGGTTCATCAGTTCATATCAAAAACTAATATTTTCAATATTTTATATAAAAGAACGGAAAAGTGTGACTGCGCGAAAATAACATACAACAATGATTGTTTTCTTGCGACTTACAGTGCAGAACTCGACTCCCCGGACGCTGTTGCCGCACTTGTCTAGCGGGGGAGAGAAGCAGGCGATGCCACACACATTGGGAATGATGATGATGATGGCCCCACTAACTGCAGACTTGGCAGGCACTCCTACCTACAACATCACAAACAAATAAAATAAGACAACAAGGATAGCAGGCTGGTATGCAAGAAGCACAGAACGTTCCGACCACGCTCATGAAAGAAAAAATCATCTCAAACACAAGGAAAAAGTTATATAGTTTGAGGAAGAAGAAATTTTTTTAAATTGTTTCAACAATTTTTAAACGTTTTCAGTCTAAAATTTTTTTTGCTATTTTTTGTAAGTTTGAGTGAATAAATTGAAAACATGCAAGAAAAACTTGTCGCAATAGCTAAAATAACGTTTAAATTGTCGTAGGGTTAAACTTTCCGGCCAGCCTCCAATCTGATTTTATGATCAAATTGTCTAATTTAGACTGAAAACAAAAAATATTTAGACCAGTTGTTCTTGACACTGAGACAACTTTTGGATTTTTTTTGGAAGCCAAATTACGGCTGAAACAGTTTTATTATGATATCACAGTTAACCACGAGCTCTTCTTCCTGAGATTCCTAAATTTCGTCGGAAAGCACACCTTACGGACATAGTTCCTACCCTTCACTTCGTGAAATGGTGGAAACAAAAAAACACTGACTTGCGCTGAAATTTTCTTGACATAGCATGGGTGTTATTAATGTAATGAGTTTTGGCTCCAGATTTATGACCTTACACAAGTTCTTCGAAAGGCAATTTTTCAGCCATCAAAAAAAACTTGCGATTTTCGTTGATCTTATTTTTTGCTATTCTCGAACGCTTGAAAACCGTATTTGCAGAAATTTTCACACTGCCTGCCGCATTGCCAAACGTTTTCACAATTTTGAAAACTTTGAAATATCTGCCTGCGCTGCCCCGTTAAATTTTATATGTTGGCGCCAAGGCAAGGTGAGAAAAACTTTACGAACGATGGGCCCAAACGCGAGTAAAAGCATAGCAAAATACCGATCTCTAATCGGCAGTTTGGAATCAATAATCTACAGGGCAAACAGTCAATGAAAAAATGCAGCCAACAGATAATTGGAGAAAAAAAACAGCTAAATAAAACTAAAAAACAAGACTGAATTCAAATTTCTAGTTTCGTAAAGTTAAAATGATTTACATTGGTTTATCCAAAAAGAAAAAAACTAGCACACGAGCTATTCATTTCTTCATGCAGAACCGCTGTTGCGTCCTTGTTTAAAAATAACATGAACATTTTTTGTCTTTGTTTCTGGGCTAAGTGAAGTTTTAGTTTGAAGAATTTTTTTGATATACACGTTTTCTAAGCAATTGACCCAGTTAGCACAAATCGGGAAAATTAAAATCCATAACTTGCAGGCCAAATAAATTGTCCATGCATCTTCAACAATTGACGTATATTTGAACTAGTACAACTGAACTTGTAAACAAAACAAAAGTTGATCCGCGACAAATCAAACTTGGATGTGAAAATGTTTTACGATTTTGTAATAAAACTAAAGTAACCGTGAAAAATTTTTTCTGGCACTAAACGAGCATACAAAACTTTTAAAAAATGGCGAGATTGTTGAAAAGTTGTCAAAAAAATTACCTTTTTTTAGATCAGTTTTCGAGAAAAACGTTGAGCTATCAAGTTTTTTACGTCCAATTTTTTTTTTTTGCAAAACTAGTCCAATTTTGAAGTACTGGTTCTATATATAATTTTATTAATTTTTTTTTATAGACTTTTAATAAATTGAAAGAAAAAAAACACAAGAAAAAACAAAACCAAAAATTAACAATATTTGCACATAAGCTGGTTTTGCTGCAAAAGTAAAAGTTTAGGACAACAGTTTTTGGTCTCTGTCTTTCGTTTCTTCCTCTATTTCTTCTAATACCAAAAAAAACTCCTAAAAACTGGCGTAATCTGAGGGCATTGGATCATTCGCAATTTATTTTGAGCTGAAAATGTTTTCTATATTACAATGCAGGCGCGGATCTAGGATTTTCTCAAGGGGGGGGGGGCGGGGCGGATTTTCAAAAAGAAATCGAAAATTTTGACGACCTTTTTTTAGGTCGACCAAATTGATTTTTTGAGCTCTCCCAAAGCACTGTTTTGCCCCTATTTTGGCAAAATTTTCTGCGCCGCAGTCAAATTTTTGAAAAAACAGTCAAAAAAGGCGTTTTTAGGCACTTTTTGGAAAATTTTGACCAAAAAATTGCGTTTTTTCGGCGCGCGCTCCCCCCTCAAAATAAGTAAATATTGGCGCCCAAGGCCCCTCTAGAAAAATTTTAGGGTCGGTCGGCCAAAAGTGGATTTCTTAAAAAGTACCAAAGGGGGGACCCTTTGGGTCGGCAGGGTGTCGAATCCCTGAGGGGGGGCATATATAACTAACAAGAAAAGATGTTTTTGAAACTGAATTATTGGGTACCTGGAAAGCGAACTGTCCCGAGAAATCGTACATCCCACAGGAGAAGCAGATTGAGAGAGTGTCCCTGACAACGTCTGGCTCCAGGATTTTCTTCTCTGTTAGGGGATTTACTCCTCCATTGGCCAGAGTGGCAGCGATGATTGACAGCGTCTCACAAGTCACCTCCAGAGAACATATCTGCGATCATAAAAACATTTTAAAAGATTAGTCCAAGTCATCAAAAATAAAAAGAATAACTCTGAGGAAGAGACCCGGTATATATTTTGCTCAACTCTCTTCTCTCTCTCTCTCTCTCTCTCTCTCTCTCTCTTTGTTATTTCTTTGTTTACTTTGAAAGTTATTCTACTTCCATACTTCCACCTATTTGACTACTTTTTTTGTTGGGAAAATATTGAACACTTTCGCATCGAGCGATGTTTTGACGGTTATTTTAACAAACGATTCGACTGTAAAAAAAAGTTGATTTAAAAAGCGGACATATGTTTGACTCAACACGTCAAATGTCGACGACCTGCTCCGGTGATTGAAACGAAAAGTAGCAAAATCGTCATTTCAACGTTGCGGCATTTCTTACCTGAAAGTAGAGGTCCAGTATCTGTGTGAGGTCTGTGTTGGGGGGATAGCAGTCATGCTCCTTCATGAAGTAGCCAAGGGCGAAGTTCCTCCATGCAGTCGACTTCTCACTCAAGAACACCGAGTTGTTGAAGCCCACGTGACCCACGCCCGCCGCCAACTCCTTGAACTTGTCGAAGATCTACAATAGACACCTTGCAGTTGTATTAGCCAATATCAATATGCATATCTTGTTTTGTATATTTGCTCCTAACAAAACAAATTCCTCAAAATTATAGAATACTCTATGGATTACACAGCTTTTAAAATACTCCGTTTTGCACAACTGCTCAAAAATGGCATGTTCGAAGTCAGTCGAACAAAAAAAACACAAAATTTTAGTACATATTTTGCTATGTTAATTGATGATATGATTATAATTTTTATTCATTTCATCAAGGCAACACATTTCGACTGACTATTACTTACGTAATCAAATTTATCAGAGAGGGATTTTCCAGGTTGTATTAGAGATGTTGTGATGATGGCTCCAGAATTGATCATGGGGTTGTGAGGTCGGTCTAAGCATTCAACATAAGGGGTTGAAATTGTGTCTTTTGCAGTAGCCTAATTGGGATCTGCTCTGCTAAGCTTTTCCAACAGAACATATCGCGATGATTTTTGAGCAAAAAATTTGTGAAAGGAATTTGGAGACAACATTTTTGTTTTCTGTAACGAAAAACGTTATCGTGAGCTGGCAATTTCATTTTCAACTAGCGACATTTCATAACAGGTAGCAATTAGTTACAGGTAAGAGCTCGAAACAATAGGTTAAAAATACTTACTTTTGGAGTCGAGTGTGATTTCGTTGAAGGTGCGTCCACTGGGCTCGAAGCCCACATACTTGTGGACCAATTCGGAGCCATGATCGGTGGCCACGACGGCGTAAGTCAACGGCTTGCTCACCGACTGGATTGTGAATGGCACTGAACAGTCGCCGAAACTGGCCCTGGAAAAAATGTTATGCATGACAAAACTATTTGAGTTAGAAAAAAATCAATGGATCATTCGCAAAAATATTTTCAACTTTTCAAAAAGTTGATGCTTATGTAATCCAAAAATATCTACAAATGGGGGTTCCAAATAATACATTGAACGGATAGTTTTTCCCAATTTGATTTAACTTTTGAGGTAATCATTACAAGAAATTGGTGAAGTGATCGCTTCGGACCAGTCGCTTAAAAAGTGTTTGATTACCTCAACTCTTTCGCTACCCTCACTCTCATCTATGCTACCAAGTAATGAATCCCCCAACTTATATACAACTGATTTAGCGACTAAGTATTTGTGAATTTTGTACCTAGTAACGAATCTCTCCCTTTTGCGAAGGGGAATATTTAAAGAGACCCTGATTACCTCTGTCCATCAATTGAGCATATAGACACGCCCCAGTAGTTCGAATTCATCTTGGCCAATTGCGGAATGTAAGTTGCATTCTGGAAAAAAAACAATTAGCAAGTCAAAAATAAGCATTTTGGAAATCATAGCCAACTGTAGGGTTGGAATCGTTTTCACGGGTTATGCATTAAGAATTGCAAGTTATATACATTCGGGGGTATATCTGAAATTTCAAAAGTTTTTGCAGGTCGAAATTGATTTTCTATCCTTCCTTACGTACTAAAAGAAGCCTAATATACCAAAATAAGTATGTTTTGGTTTTTCAGGATCACCAATCTTCACAATCACCCTGTCTAAACTTCAGGATCAGTCAGCCAATAATGAAATAAAATCTTAACACAAACCTGAACATAGTACCAATGATGGCAAAGGTGATGAAATCCGGGCGGTGGGCTGAGGGGGGGGGGGAGGGGTTAGGGGTATCTTTTGAAGAGATCTGGGACTTATGGAAATGGATATTCCGCGAACAAAACTGCATACTACCGTCCGAGGTTTGAGCCGCACAAAGGCGCAACACAGCGGAATATCAATTGTTCAAATTTTTTTTAAACAAATACTTGAGAAAAAGTGCTCAAGAAATTCTGGTCAAGAAGTTTCTAGCTGAGTGATGCATTGACCGAAGTCACTCACAAAATTGTTTAACGCAAACTGGAAATTACAAGGTATCCCTTTTTAATTTTGAAAAGGGTTCCCTCAGTAGGAAAAAATACCGAAAATAAAAAAATCTAGAAAACAGCAATCTGAAAATATAGGATCATCACAACAAAAACATAGCCAACAGACAGTTGGAAAAGAGTCATGGACGCAAGAAAAACAAAAAAATGACTTGTTAATTGAAAAACTTCAGCTTTCGAATTTAAAAAAAATGCGTATGGCCTTATATCCCTTTGAATTTCCAGAACAATTCATCTACATTTTTGATAAAATTAGCCCATTGGATCACTAAGTAAATTTTTTTCCGCTGGGAAATATGAAAATTAATTTCCACTTTCCAAACTAGAAGTTGATCACGATTTTTGTGACCTTTGCACTTTTGCTGTTCGATCTTGCCTTCCTTTCAATAAAGTGAGCTTTAAAAAAAATCAAAATTCAAACCGCGAAAAAGCAAACTTTAGCCTGAAGAGTCACTAAGTACATAAGACTCTTACTCACATATCATAAAAATTATGTTTTTGTTCTGGTCAAACTTTGCCGCACAATTTTTTGTGAAAAGCATAAATAACAGTTTTAATCGTTTTGGGTCATGAAAAGTTGCAGCATGAAAAGTTGCAGCATATCTTTTTTGAGTGGCGCAATATCATAAAAACTTTTTTTTTTCGTCGCGGAAAACACTTCGGTCGCGCAAAGTCGTGGCATACCCCCTTTTAATTCGCGATGGCGGCAACACACCTGTTTTGAGTCGCGATGGCCGCAACATACCTGTTTTGATTCGCATCGGCAATTTTTTTCCTCAACTTTCCCTCCTCTTAATTTGAAACAGAGAGTAGCCTAAATAAAAAGTGACTCACAGCACCGTCGGAGTTTTTGCGACAATCTTCAAAGATAGCTCTGACGTCGACACAGAAATTTTCGAAGTCTTTGATAGTTAGCTCGGATCCAAAAGCACGGCTCAACATCACTATGTTCATAGACACACATCTAAATAAACTAGCCAATGAGCCATCTATATAAACTAACAACTATATGAACTAGCGTCTAAATAAAGTTGGAGTCTGAATTCAGTTTGTATTTCATAAGCTTCTTCAAATTATCGACTTAAAACACTGATGGACCCAGTGGGTTGCCGACATGATCAAAGGTCAAACTTTGCGATTATTCAAAAAAAATTCCAGAGGAATTTTTTCTAAAAAATTGGGTCTTTTGGATCAGCTATTTCGATTTTGCGCGCCATAGTTGGCAAAAATTTGGCTAACATTTTTAGCAAAAGAAAATTTTTGACAAAAAAATCTTGTTTTGTGGTTAGCGCTCCTTAAATTTATTATCGTCTCTTCACTCCGACATGCTAATGGATACAGACTAGCTGGCTCTCGGTTTTGTTAACTGTTTTCTAGTCGGTGAGTATTGTATCACAATATGACTTAGATTAGAAAAACTTCAGCTGTGCTCTGTCTTGATTTATGTTGATGTTATTTCTGCTCACTTTCTGAACTCGTCGGAGGGGATGTTGCTTGTGTGATGTGTGCGCTTGAACTCCAGGAATGCATTCACCGTGTCCTTCAGTCGGGGGTCATCTTCCCGAAGACCAGTGCGACGCAACTCCTAAAGATAGACAACAAAAGCATTTACTTTCCAGTTTTAATTGAAAACCTTTGAAAGAAAGTACACTAAATTGTTCCCTGCTGCGCGACAACAAAAACTTATCATTTTTTGGCTAGCCAGAAACTACCTAGCTAGCTGTGACCAAGTTCGTCAATTTCAATTTTTCATTTGGTCAGTCAATTCAGTTTTTTTCAAGTGGCTTTAAACATGTCCCAAGTAACCATTGAACTATTACACTACGCGGGAACATGCGGATAGGTCCATCAACCTTTAAGAATTTATGATGATTAACCTTTTTCGTCAAAACGTGTTTTTGGCAAAAAAAAAGAAATATTTTAGTCCAAGCTCCCTTGAGGAATAAGTACAATAGACCGTTGTAAATTTATCAATAAACTTGAAGAACTAGAAAAAAAACATAAGAATTTTCACCTTCTGAAATAAATTAGCTCACCTTAAAACATTCACGAAACTTTGAGAAAAACTTGATGATTTTTAATCATTGAATTGACATTATCGGCTTAACGTTGTTAATATTCCACTGAAGATATCCAAATCTAATTATAGTTTTTAGACTTAATTTGAAATGGGTTTATCATCGTTGCTAGTCTTGTTCTCAGAAGGCTCACTTGGAGCTCCATTCTGAAAATAACTATTAAAAATCAAGTTTTCAGGCCACCGATATATATTCCAGCCGCTGATTGTTTTTTTTCTCGAAAGATGCAGTATGAACAACTGCGAGTATGCCACCTAACATTTTCATACTCGCGCTAATAGCCATCCAATCAACCCCAACTTAACCCATAACAACGTGAGACTTAGTATAGAAAGGTGCACTTAATTTCCAGCTACTAAATGTGAGCTAAAACGATAAAGAAATCGATAGCAATTAGAACGGTACCTAACTCAAACTATCTAGTTAACTGCAACTTTTAAGAATTTATGATTTTCCGAGTACCAAGATCCATTTTTTTGAATTAAAACTGATGCTGGAGGAAAGTTCGGAAAAATATTTCAATTCAACACGAAGCTATGTTGGATCAACCGTAAGATATAAACCGTAAAAGCCTCTTTTACCAACTTTATAAAGCAATACGATCTTGCAGTTGATTCAGAAACTTAGGCGCAGTTGATGGATTAACTCCTGAAATTATGCAAGCTCAGCCGGATTTTAAAACTCGGCACAATTTTGGTCTCGTTACAAATATTCCTAATTGGGAGGTTTGCGTTCCTTTAAGAATAAATTTCAACAAAATACCCTAATCGATCAAGGAGGATTATCTTGCAAAGTTTTGCAAGTCTCTTGCAAGCTCTTGCAAGGTAAAACTGAATTCAAAAAGCCTTCTAGCAAAAATCTTAAGCGGAAAATTTTTTAAGCAAAATCCTACACATTTACAAACGGAGACAACCACTATGCTTTCGTGGGCGGAAGCAATCATAGTAACTGACACATGCACACAGCTTGCTAGGTGGTTGCCAAAAAGCAAGGACTATACGTTTTCATTAGGGTATTTTAATAAAAAATTGGTAACATCACAAAACGTTAAATAATAAAGCAAACATAAAAACCAGGATACTCGGTTGCTGTGCAAGTAGCAGAGAATGTTCCGACCATTTTCATTAAAAAAAAATAAAAAATAGTTTTTTTTTACTCTCTTCAAATTAGTATCGTTTTTAAAGTCTGTAGTTCGATCGCGTAGAAAATCAGTGAATAAGGCAGGAGCGGATATAGGATTTTCTAAGGGGGGGGGGGGTGACGATTTTTAAAAAAAAATCAAAAATTTTGTTGACCTTTTTTTAGGTTGACCGAATTGATTTCACGAGCTCAGCCAAATATCACTATAAAGACCGTATTTTGACCAAAAGTTTCAAATTTTTAGCGCCGCAGACAAATTTTTGAAAAAATAGGAATTTTTTCTGCGCACGCTCCTCCCTTATTATAAGTACATATTGGCGCCGAAGGCGCCTTTAGAAAAAGTTTAGGGTCAACCAGCTAAAAATGGATATCTCAAAATAGTACAAAGGGGGACGCTTCGGGTCGGCTGGGGGTCATAAATCCCAGAAAAGAAAGCATCCAACCCCTACCCCCAAAATCCGCCCCTAAAACTAGGCATGATCGACAACATTTGTCTTGAAAAAGAAGAATAAAAAATAAATAAAGACAAAAAAAAACTTTTTTTCCAACATTTCTACAATACAAAAATTTCATAGAAAATTTTTTTGCCAATTGAACGCTAAATGAAACATCCAAAATTAGTTTTCGTTATAATTAAAATAACTTATCATCCAACAAACCTAAAAAACTCTTTGTAACGAGCGTTACTTGTTCGCGTTACTTGTTCGCGTTACTCGCTCGAACTAAGACTAAAAATCACAATTTTTTAAATCTCCTTTTCTCGATACTGGGACAGTTTTTTTTTTAAATTTTCCCAGTAGCGAGAACTTGGAATAATAAAAAAAAATTTCAAGTTTTTTTAATGTCGTTCGGTCGTTCGGACATCAACGACATCAATTTAAATTATATTTAATTAACGACGTTTGCAAGATTTTTAAATGTCGTTTGGATTGCTGCTAAAAAGTTTTCATATGATATATATCACTCGATCCATTCTGATGTTTATTTGTGGTACCTAATTTAGCGTGAAAAAAATTGAAACACACCCGAATACAAAGTTACTCCTCATTTTCAATGGTCGGAACAAAAGTTATAAGCTCTTGGCATAATTTGAACGGACACAAGGTGCACATTAATTTGAGTTGTGCTAGAAAGTTGCTGACTTTGCTGAAAATGTTGCGAAATCTTTGTGAACGCAATATGTAAAACTACTCGAGCTATTATGGACACTATACGGCAATTTTACGGAGTTAGCACCTAAAAATTCTTTTTTCAACCGGTAAATAATGAAAACTCGGAGAGTTTTGGCAAAAGAAATTGAAAAATGAATATTTTAAGTAATTTATAAACACTGCCTGAAATTTATTGTTTTAAAGAATTAATAAACAATGCCTGAAACTTATAAGGCAACAAAAGCTGAAAAAAAATTGTGCATAGCCAAAATATTTTTGCAATATGTTCATCCTGTGCACTTTCACGTAGCCTAATAATTTTTTTGGTTGTACGAATAATTTTTTATGAAAGAACTTCGGAATGAACAAATTTTGCAAAATTCTTGCATGCTATAAACTGGAGAAAGAAAGTAACGCAACCAAACAGTTTGTAAGATTGTTTGAATTGCCCTCAAAAAAGACTTCAAACGTGAAATAAATTCAAAAAATGTGATAAAATAACAAGTTTGACCATAACTGACCTGTTTGATTAAATATATTTTGCAAAAAAAATAAAGCCATTAAAAACCTGGTTCACTTAACAAAAAGTGGAATTTTGGACCAGATTCTACCAGTGAGTACGTAAAACTTTCATTTGGATTTTGGTTGTTTATTAGTCTACGGTAAATTTTTGTGCAACGTATTACAAAAAAAATTTAAAAAAATGAAACTAAAGCTCCGCATCAAATTGTCAAAAAGGTAGTTTCCAGAAATAAAAAATAGAGTTTTGGGTTTAATTTCAGTTTTTTGTATTAGAAAACGTTCTTATTTTGAACAAACAATTGCCTCAACAAAGCCAAGTTAATAGCTGCTACCCTAAAAAGCCTGAAAGTGATTTTGCATAATAAACTTTCTTTTCAGTTAACTAGTTGCGTTACTTTTTTTCTCCAGTATATTAGAGAAGTTAAATGAAAAAGTCTTGCAAAATAACCCTCGTTTGCATGAGTAGGCAAATACAAACCCGCAATATGTAATCAATATCGGCTAAATTTGACTTTCCGTCTGAAAACAGTTCAAACAAAATATCTGCCGGGCCTTCCTCGAAGTTGCACACAATATTGGAAGTAGTTCGCCTGCAAAAGTCATTTAGAAGTCCAAATTAGCTGGAAGTTTTGAAGGTTTTGTTGGATCTTTTAAAATACCTTGCTTTTAATATATTTTCTAACGTTAAGTGATTAAGATTCAAAAGTGTCATAAAATTCAGATTGAATGTTTTGTAATACTTGTATATTTTCTACTCGCTCCATTATACTCACAAAAAACTACAGCCCCAAAAAAAAGAGACCTTGACTTTTGGGAGTCCAAAAAATTCTGGGGCGGATTACAATGGGAGGGAATTCAAGTTTTTAATGTTCAGCTAAAATGAGCCAATTTTATAGAAGGACCACTTCTTCAGTACGGAATCCAATTCATAGTCAGAATCTTCATCGTCATTTTCGTCATGGTCTTTTTTCACGTCTCCTTCGCTTTCCGAAATAGCCTGTCTCGGAAACTTTTCCAGCTCGTAAACATCTGCATCTGCTTGGTTGCTACTACTTTTGCTCGTACTGACGCTAGTTCTGCTGCTTTCGCTGTCGACTGAAGTGAGCGTCGCGAAGCGTAATTTTTGACCAGGTTCCAAAACTATCTCTTGCGATTCCTCCCAGGGCTTGGCGATGATTTCAATTCTTTCCATTAACTCTGCGTTTGTCATTGTTAATCGAACAAGTCTTTGAGATCACAGCCAAAAGGGCAATTCAAATAAGCTCAGTCATTCCAGGTAAACAGTTATTTTGTGTGCTTTTGGTTCAATTACAGCCTCTAACTTGCTTCCAAACGCTATTTGTTATTATAAAATCGGCATATACAACAACAAAGCTGGGGTCAAGGATATTTAAATGCAACGATGAAGAACGAGCCGTTCAAACGAAAGCGCTCGATTAATCGGTTCAACAACCGGGTTTTTTATTTTCCAAGCTATTCTTTGTTTTTTTTAATGCACTGTTGAAGTTGAATAAAGCTATTAGTTTATAGCTTCGATCGATTTAATGCAAACTTTATGTAAAAGTAATAAATAGTGGCCTTAAACAGATCGCTAGAATTTATATATGACGCAGGGGTGGATTGAGGGAGTTCAGCGGACGGTTCCCAGAAGGCTGGACGGTCCCAACCCTTGGTATATTTTACAGAATCCAGTTTAAGACAACCGAGCCTATAACATTACCGACCCTACCTCTGTTTGAGCTAAATTTGAAGAAAAAGCAAATGCACCAAAAAAACAAAGTTTTGGCAGACAATTTCCAAAGTGCCAAAAAACAAATGTTTGGTTGTTGTACAGTCATGGGACACAGAAGTTGTAACTTTAAAATTTCGAGCAGATGGACGAAACTTTTCTTCGCGATTTTTTTTTGTTTTCTCTGCAACTGTTTAAAAAACAGGCTTCAATTTTTGACAGAGGGTATGTTTTGACAGAAGGGCTCAGCCAAGCCAAAATTTGAGAAATCTTGTTTTTAAGGCGTAAATTAGCCAGTATATCATAACTATTTTCAGAGATTTTCTTGTTGTGGAAACAACCTTGCAAACAATTTAAAAAAAATTGAACTATGGGCTCTCAAATTAGTTCTTTGGGAAACTGATGAGCGTGTTTTATTTTTCAAACCGACAAAAAATCACAGATAACAGAATTAAGAGAGTTACTTGGTCCGGCTTCGAGAAACGGTGGTCATGGCTGTATTGACAACTTTTACATTAAAACTTCTTGGGGAGTAATACCAGAAAAATGGACAAAATTTACACATACTACAACTGCGAATAAAAGTTATGTGCATGAATTGAAGCAGTAACTTTTCCAAATTATTTTGTCGACCCTTTTTTAGGTCGACCACATTGATTTTCCGAGCTCTCCCAAATCACTATAAAGACCCTATTTTGACCAGATTTTCTGCGCCGCATTTAAATTTAAGAAAAAGCCAAAAAGGCGTTTTTGAGCACTTTTTGGAAAATTTCGACCGTAAAATCGCGTTTTTTCGGCGCGCGCTCCCCCCTCAAAATTAGTATATACTGGCGCCCGAGGCGCCTCTAAAAAAATTTTAGGGTCCATCGCCAAATATGGATATCTCAAAACAGTACAAAGAGGGGATCGAAGCCCTGAAGAAGGGTGTCCGCCCCCGCCCCCTCCTAAATCCACCATTGGATCAGCGCAAAAGGATTCATGAAATTTCAGCTTTTTTCTTACGCCGGACCACGTAACTCTGGTAATTCTGTTATCTAAAATTTTTCCGCGGTATGAAAAGTAAGAAACGCTCATCAGCTTCCCAAATAACTAAATTGAGCCAGAATGTTCAAATTTCTTATACTGTTTGCTGGTTGTTTCCACAGAAAGAACATCTCTGAAACTAGTTTTGATATACTGGCTATTTTACGCCTTAAAAACAAGAGTTCTCAAACTCTGGCTCAGTGAAATCCTTTCAATTAGTTTCATCTACCTTCTGTCAAAGTTTGAGCCACGTGTCTTTAACATTTGTAAAGAAAATGAACGTAAAAAAACTGAGTTCACTGCTCGTTGAAAACAAAAAATTGCACCGTGGATGTATGTCGCTGTAAGATGTAAGATGTAACTTACCTTTTGAGTGTATGATATCTCAGAAAAAAAGTTTCAGCTTGACTCAACTACTAGAGAAAATTTGAATGTTGCCTTCAAAAATAAAAATGAAACCGAATGACGGGTTTGTGAGTTACATTGTTTGGATGACACCACCTAACTATCCAGAAAAACTTAGAGCTATCAAAAAACCATGAAGTCAAAATATAGATTTCAAATGGTGGAAAAAATGTGATTCGTCATTCGAAAATTTCGAGAAAAAGCTTCAGTGACAACTAAAGGAGTTGTCTCTGCCCAAGAGAGCCACTCAGTAATTTTTGTATGCTGAAAAATAACCAGTGCTGACAATAACTATAGCAAGTTCGAACGAGAGGCATTTTTCGTGGTAGTTTGCATAACAAGACAAAAAATTTCTCGTGTTATGCGACTTCTGAATCATGAACCAGAACCCGTTACAATGAATCTTTCAACCCCCGAAAGGAATATCAGAAGTAGGTTCTGTAAGGAAAGTAAGGTAAACTGTTCAAAAAATGGCTTTTGACTTGGATATCAAGCGTGCACCTGGATCAACGACTGCCCGCGCTGGTGTGTTGTCGCGTCTACGCTTCCAATGCGTTCACAAACGCTAGCGAGCACTTTTATTTTTACGCTACAAAACAGAGTCGACTGCCTTAATGACTGTGCATAATAAACTTTCAAGCTATATTTTACTAATTTTTTGGCTCAAACTCTTCGCTAAAAACTTAGGCATTGAGATTTGAGTAGACTTCTATAAAAGTGCAGACTATAAAAGTGTTTCTATAAAAAAAAGGTACGACATATTGGAGCATATCACTCAGTCCAAAAAACCCAAAAAGGGTTACTGTCATAAAAACTTGCACATACATTTTTCTGGCTGCCAAAATTAGTCGATGTTACTATGTAAAGTGTCATCGTTATGGTGTAAATTAAAAAGTTTGTATATCGCAGGGCAGAACTGCCGAGCCTCTAAAATGAGCCAGTATGCGCCTTTTTTGATTAATTTTTTAGTTAAGGGTTTTTCAATACAAAATTTCACCAAATGAAAACATTCATTTTTTCCGGGTACCTATGGGTAGCGTGTGGGGGATGATTTTCCTAATAAACTTCAAATTAAAAATTTTTACTGTTTTTTCATTTTATTTTTTTTACATTAATTTTTTTTTTTTCATTTTAGCACTGCTCCATAGACCTTAAAAGGGAGTCGGAACATTACGAGCAGTCGTGTTATTTTTCAGGATTTTAGCCTAAAAAGCGTTGAAACTCTTTTAAACAGGGGCCTGCACTTCCAGCTTTCAGAATTTTTGTCGTGCACTTCTAACTTTCGGAATTCGATAACTTAGTTACTATTTAATGAAAATAAATAATGGATTATAGCTAATCTCTTTTTTTTTTCTGTCATTGTCTTGGTTGGAATTCGGAAGACTTACAGAGAGGAAGTGGTCGACATTGACAATTGAAGGGTCGGACTGGGAGCAGAATACATCCATCAACACATCCGCAGGTCCTCTGTCGTCCTCTTCGCAGTCCTCGCTCCATGTAGTCTGCTTTTTTCTAATTCAATTTTTGATTCTCGTTCATTGCTATTTTGTTTTGACTAATTATTTTCTTAAACTAATTTTAAAAATGTATTTTAATTTTCCATACTTCAATTTGTTTATTAATTGACAACTGTTATTTTTCAAAATTGTTTTTTAATCGTTTTTTAGTAGATAGCTTACGTGAGGCGTTCTAATCCTACTAGTCCAGAAGCAACTTGTGAAAAACTGCCCGAAGAATGGTTTTTCGACTGTCTACGGCCGAACACTTGGTCGCTTGAGTTGTCGTCTGCTTCTTCCGCACCTGAAGGTACGTTCTCTTCATTAGTCATCGAGTGCTCGGCCGAAGCACGACTCGAACCGATTGCTTCTTCTCTTGTGGAAGTGGGAATGTAAAATAAAACGTCTTCTTCCGTTGATTCGTTTTCTAATTCTTCCAGTTGCAATAGCGATGATAAGTGATTATTTGGGCGTGAATTTGGGCAATCGCTCGAAGAATTTCTGCTCATATTTTCAAATCGTAACTTCACAAAAATAAATTTTCTCAAGAAGACGCTTACGTCATTTTAGAATTTATAGTTGTTCGAGATCATCTGCTTGGTTTATTGAAAAAAGGTATAACCTGAATAAAATTAGGTTTATGTTAGTTTATGAATACAGGAAATGATTTTGCGTTGGATTTATGTGATGTGTTTTTGTGTACAGCACTTACTTAAGCTGAGTGGCTGGTGTTCATTGATTAATAACGCCAGTTTGTTCCTTGTGATCGAGAATTTTTTTTCAAGCCATCTAATAAAATTCAAATCAGCTTAAATTGATATTGCCGGGAAATTTAATGGAAAAGCCTTAAAAGCAAGAGCCTGTCAAGGACAGTTTTTATCAGACTGAGATCCACTTTATGTTTATTCTACACAGAAACAGAAATATACACGCGGGATATGAAATCAGTTCCGCTGAAGGTAGACAGATATGTCCCGTCCGCTAGCTAGATAGGATTTTATACCATTGATATTATAACTGTATTCACAATTGAGTAAGGATAAAGAGTCACTAGTAAACGAATTTAACCGCAGTTGAAAATGTGCGTAAGTCCATATTGTAAATAAATTTTAACTGGTCCAATTCTACCGAGCTATTCTGACAAAATATGGTAAGAATTCTTCAAAGTATGGTCTACGTCATAAAAATGATTTTCATATTCTATTATTTTTGTTATTTCTCGATTGGTTGTTCCAGAAGGTGTGTAATTCACTTTAAATGACGTGAGTCAATGAAAAATGAGAAAAAAATGATGACGGAAAAATTGTGAAAAAGGATAAAAGTGCGGTCACGATAACTTTTTTCGAATTCAATGTATAAGTATGACGCAAAAAAAAAACAATTTACATTTATTTGCCCTTATATTGGCAAACAGAAAAACTGTCTCAGTTATTTCAGGTTAAATTTATACTCATTATCAACACATACGGTATGATAACGGTACCGAACTGTATTGGCTACTGAATAATCGTCAATTAGAGATTTACTTTTGAGACTAAATTGTTATAATCATTAAAAAAAAAAGCTAAAATCAGACCGTGATAGGGACATTTTTGTCATGAGGTTATTTAATTGGTTCTGCAAAAATCCGCTTGACGTCCCTTGAAAATCCATTTATCGCGTCGTTAATCGCGTCTCGCATCGCATCAAGATTTCTATTTAATAAGCCACATTTTCCTATTCTTTTCCTGGACAAACAAATCAAACAATGCTACGCAAATGCATTAGAAGGATATTATTGTTGAAGCGAATTGGAGGAAAAAGGTAATAAGCAGATGTTTTTTATAGAAGCTTTGCTGTTTAAAGGTATCGACACGCTTAACGCATGAAAAAACAGTGTTGGAGAAAAAAGCAGCAGGAGATCCGTAGAATTTCATTAAAAAGAGCCTGTGCATTGTTGTCTTTTGCATGCTTATAAAAAAGGTATTCTCCCCAACTCACAGCCGTGTAACAAAAACGGATTAAGAATGAACGAATAAGCTATTTGTGATTTTTAAAATCTCATACATGAGATGAAAAACTGACTGCAAAATAATGGAAAGACCAATCAATCAACCGCACCAATGCGCTTTGCATTGTGACAGCCAAAATACTCAATCCTACGCATAAAAATATTCATCATGACTGATATTGTTAAGTATTTTCAAAGATGAGACCACGTTAGCACCCCAAACCCCTCTAGCCCTTCAGAGAAGACAGGAGCGGATCTAGGACTTTCTCGAGGGGGGGGGGGGGGGGGGCGGATTTTAAAAAAATGTTCGAAATTTTTTTCGACCTTTTTTCTTTAGGTCGACTAAGTTGGTTTTTCGAGCTCTCCCAAAGCACTTAGAAAAACTTGTCACGGCCAAATTCTGCGCACTGCAGCAGGCAAAATTATGAGAAAACAGGCCAAAAAGGCTTTTTTAAGCATTTTTTGGAAAATGATCACCAAAAAATCGCTTTTTTTCGGCGCGCGCTCCGTCCTCAATTAATAATGGTGGTTTTTCAAATAATTCTCCCAAATTTGAAACCCATTTTAAAAAACCAAGTTACTAACTACACTAACTACCAACTACCCAATATAATATCACATGAAGTCTTGAATTAAAAACCTAATTAATAGTGCCTGGATTTTAAAAAAATTGTTAACAACATATTTTAAAGGCCCAGTTTTCATAAATCAACAAAAAATTGTTTCACTAAAAGTATCATCAAAATGCGTATCACTAAATATATCAACTGAAAATTGATGATTTTGTAAACATTAACTAACTAAATCACTAAAAATGGTATTATCTTTACAAAAATGTTTAAAAAATTGATAGCTTATAAAACGAACAACAAGACTGCTCGTATCAGGGCGAGGCCCTGAATGTTCCGACTGCCTTTTAATGTTAATCGAGCAGTAATAACGTTAAAAAATTAAATTAAATAAAACAAAATGAAAAAAAAAAATTCTAAAACTTGAAATTTTTCATGAAAATCATCCCCCCACACGCCATATAAAGTACAAAAGGATAGATTTCGCTCGTTGTAACAAAACAATTACGGCATATAATCTTCTTTCAACCAATTTGGAACGATTTATAAGACGGATTAAATCTCCGCTTACGCGTTAATAGCGCGAATTATATCGCGCGTTAATTGTCCCAAATTGGTAAAAATGGCCAAAATGGCAATCTTTAAACCCTCATAACTTTACAAAAAATGATCACAGGTACAATATCTTTTCAAATTTAAGCTCAGGACAACAATAGCTTTCGAATGATGTAAAAAAATTCCGTCAAAAATGGCTAGTTAAAAAGTCGAAATTTGTCTGAAGAAAAAAAAAACCACCCCGAGCACAAATATTCCGTTACTTTCGTATCGAAAGTCGGAACAAAAAACAATCAAACGGGTGATGAAATAAAAATTTTCTTAGTGTTTATGTCAATATTTATTGTTCCGACTTTTGATACGAAAGTAACGGAATATTTGTGCTCGGGGTGGGTTTTTTTTTCTTCAGACAAATTTCGACTTTTTAACTAGCCATTTTTGACGGAATTTTTTTTTATCATTCGAAAGCTATTGCTGTCCTGAGCTTAAATTTGAAAAGATATTTCACCTGTGATCATTTTTTGTAAAGTTATGAGGGTTTAAAGATTGCCATTTTGGCCATTTTGACCAATTTGGGACAATTAATGCGCGATATATTTCGCGCTATTAACGCATAAGCGGAGATTTAAGCCGTCTTAGAAATCGTTCCAAACTGGTTGAAAGAAGCTTATTTGCCATAATTGATTTGTTACAAGGAGCGAAATCTATTGTTTTGGACTTTATATGACGTGTGGGGGGATGATTTTCATAGAAAATTTTCAAATTTTAGATAAAAGTTTTTCATTTTATTTATTTCATTTAATTTTTTGTTGTTTATGTTATTACTGCTCCATAAACGTTAAAAGGCAGTCGGAACTTTCAGGGCTTTGCCTTGATACGAGCAGTCTTGTTAATTTTTCAGGACAAGTTTTGTTTGTATAGAGTCCTTTGATGATCGAGTTTGTATTTGATGATCGAGTCCTTGATTTTGCAGTTAATTTTTAAGCTATGCAAAAATAATCCATAGCTTATCAATAAGTTTCTAAAGCAAACAGCTGATCAAAAAATTATGGCCGTTTTTAAAACAAATTGAGATGAATAATATAAATGATACCTTCTAGCAACTTTTTCAACAAATAAAAACCGTTATCAATAAAAAATGAATTAAACTTGGCACAATAACAGTAAAATTAAACACCCGGACCCTTCTCTATTCAGTCTTCTTATTTGCGTAAAAAACACCCCAGTCCAATTTTCTCACTTTTTGAGAGTGTAACCAACAACAAGTTATAGATTTGTGTTACCCAATTAAACATTCAATTTCCGATTATTTTTCTTCAATTTTAAAATCTGTGAGACGTAAATTAAAGCTCAAATTTTCTTTCTGCAAAATAATTTCACATAAAAATTCGTTTTCTATTTTTTGTTCAGCTTGACAAAAAATTTTTTTGAAAGTATCTTTACAGCGAACTGGAATTTCAAAAATTATACCTTTGAGATGCTATGTCAGCCCGACATATCTGTATCAAAGGGAATCTAGTTTTTTCCAGATGATTTATCTGTTAATGGTGTCACAACTGAGTTTGACTCATTTCAAAATTATTTTCCTAAAAATTTAGTGACATTAGATTGGTGGCTGTAAAAAAAACAATCTGTTTATTGTCATTTTAGCAGTCAAAAACAATATTTGTGATTGTGATTGGGTACACTACCGCTTCAGAAAACCTGTTATGCCAATTGGATATACTAAAAGTTTTTTCCCAGCTAGGCAAACAAGTTTTTGTCGCGCTCAGTATTTTAGAGTTCATCCAAATGCTTTTGGTTCAAAAAAAACTTTTACTTTGATCTCTTTTTTTCTTAGAGTGAACAAATGGCAACAAGGCCGCTCTTTTATCCGGTAAAACCCTGAGTGTTACGACTGATTTTAACTTTTAACTGGTCTTAAGATAAAACTTAAGTTTTGTACTGTCGATTAACCCAAGTGATTGTCATCCGGCCGGATTGGCAATATATATATTATGTATAGTTATTTATTAGGCTCACTGGGTTGAGCTGGTCAAGTGACCTTGAAAGACAAGACGAAACAATGAGTTTAGTGAATTGTCATCAGAAGATAAAAATAACAGTTATGATTCAGTTGTCTTGTTGACGTCTTAGTCTCATTCATAATTAGCTCGCCAATCCGTACGGATTCAAAATTAAACATTACGCATACCTACGGGTATGACATGGCGCAGTCAGCAGCATCAACGAAAAACCCTCTCAATATAAACTCGTTCTGGGAGAAATCATCAGCAGAGCCCCCGCTAGAATGGAGGAAGTGGGTTGCAATTGTAGAGCTCGCGGTTTTCGCAAAAGACGGAATAGAGATCCGAAATCTACTACGGGAGGAACCTGAGGTTACTCTGCCATCTGAACCAATTCGAGATACAGGGAGAAAAGGACGCACAACGGAGAAATAGAGATGTCAGAAACCAAGAAAAGAATGTAAATTAGCAGAATAGTTGCCAAAAAGCAACAGACAAAGGCGTTATAAGTAACTCCGTAAACTGGGACGAAGCGGATGCGAGAGTGCGAAGCTACCTATTTCTATGTCTAGGCATGGAAGGCCAGAGACAGGTACAACAGAAGCGACCGGGGCTAAATATACAGACGACAACAACAGGACAGCTAATACATGTAATGAAGAAATTTCTATTACCCACAGAATCATAGCATTCGAAAGATACAACCTTATCTGCCGTAAACAAAGCAAAAATAAAACATTAGAGCAATTCCACTCAGATTTAGTAGAGCTAGCAATCCGTGCAAACTGTGGAGATAGGGAAAATGATTGAGTTCACGATATGTTCACCGCCCACATGAACGATGAAAAAATCGCCGAGGAATTACTAGCTGAAACAAGAACACCACAAGAAGCATATGAGTATGCAATAAGACGCGAGAAGGGCGTTGAACATAGCAAAACTATGAAGTTAAACCCAATCGGAACAACTTCGTCCGTTGCAATCAAGCAAGAGCAAGTGGGTTACATTCAACCCAAAGGAAGACGTGGCGGATTTTCCTCACCTTTTGAGAACAATAGAGGAAAGTACTCGCGGGGAAGACAAAATCAAAACACAAGGGGAAATCAAAACAAAAATACACAAAATTACGCTTCAAAAAAAACAATGCACAAAAATGGAAATCCGTTTAGCCCAAACCATTTTCAATCATGTCCAGCCCGAGATAAAGTTTGCACGAAATGTCCAAAACGTGCACATTTTGCAAAAGTCTGTCGTTCAAATCATGTAAATTTTCTTCAAAATAACGCTGATAATGAATCACGAGACAAAAAGGAAAGCCACCATCAGAGAAACGAAGTTAATGACCCAGTGGCTTTCGCAGATTTCACGTCACAATATAGTTGGGAGTAACCAAGAGATAATTATTCCATGTTGTCAATTTCAGATGCATTCGAAATTAAACAAACGGCGAAAATTAGTGAGGAAGATTTAAATGGACATATTGTGAAACTAAAAACAAATTCCGAGGCAATTCTTGCCAATGCGGATTCAGGGAGTCTAATGTCATTCCTAAATGAAACTACGGCACGTCAATTACATCAAAACGACAAAACTACTATTTAAAAAAAAATCCCGCGTGAAGATACCGCACGTAATCTAGCTTGCTATAATGGAGAAGTTATTATTCCGAAGGTATGACTAAACCTAGCTACAGAATCCAGTGGGTGGACTATCCAGTCGGCTCCATTTATTGTGATTGAAGACCAAAAAGCCAACATTCTCGGCCGTAATTTACTCTCAAGCATCGGTATAAAATTAATTCAAGAACAACC